GCTACGCAGAATGAATTATACACTGTCAGATTTCAGGCATAACTGAGTCGATTAAATTTGAATTTTAGCGTGTCTCAGAACTGTGCTGCTTCTTTATAAGCATGTCATCACAACTGGTGGTGACACACTTATCGCATGGTGACACACAAGAAAGGCATACTTATTGTACGGTGACTTACATTTCCTCAGCTTTCTGCAGTAGGTTGTGCACTCTCTTTACCTGGAAGGCACAGCTAGACAGGGTAGATGCTAGTAGTACAAGAAATCTAATGATTGTGCATAGAAAAACCTTGAAATTAAACCACCCAAGTTCTTAATGAGATTTAAAAGAGGTAGCAGGGACTTGAGATTACTGGGGCACCAGAGAGATTCCAAATTTTCATCTAAATATTGTGTGCTCAAGTGTCTCCATCTTCCTTTGCAGAGAACACATCCATCCCCAACCCAGACATGCAGATTCATTATCTTCTGATTCTAAGCTTGCAGATGCAGGACCTTTGTGCACACACCTGCCCGTGGACACCTAAAAGTCAAGCAGAAGCTGAACATCTTATGCACATCAGCTACACTGTATTTTTAAAATACTGGATGGGGTGGAAATTATGTTACCCAAACTGATGCAAGCGTGTATGGATGTTATTCAGCATCTTGATTCAAACTGGGGTCTGGAGCAAACCACAGGTTACAAAAAGTAGCCCTGGAGTGCTTCCCTCCCCAGAGTGACCTCAAGACTGCAGCCTGGAAATCCGGACTTGTGGTAGGGCAGCTCTTACTTGCACAGAGAGTGCTCCATTTTCCACTAAAGCCTCACACAGGAGAGATTCAGCCTGCCCAGAGCATTGCCCTAGGCCTCTGGGCTGCCTTGCTTGTGGAGGAGACCTGGCATGGCCAACCCTCCCAAGGCACCAGAGCCCAGGGCTCCAACGTAACCCAAATGACCCTCTCAAGCTCAGACTCCAGAGCCTGGGGCTCCTAGGAGTCCTGGTGGCCTCCACCATGCCCACTTGCAGATGCCAGGCCTCTGCTCCTCCAGTGAGTGATGGCAGCAACCACTGAGGCTCGGCTCTGTCCCTGGCTGCTGCTTGATGCTGTCGGCTCGGTGAGATCCCATAATGCTTTTTGAAAATGGAACTAATCTGACTGCTGGCCAAATTCCAGCTTTGGGTAATTACATTCTTCTGACAAATTTTTCTTGGCAGTTTCAACAGAATATAATTAGTAAATGTAAATAGATGTAAACAGTGCTGTAAATTACGCTTTGTGTGATTGTCAGAAGCTGAGGGGGATAGCAGGGGTGAAGGTGCAGAAAGAGCAGAGCACCGTTCCCCAGCATGCACGATGTGGCGGCCATCCCTGTCAGCAGGCTGGGCATGCCTCTGCCACGACAGTGCGTGCGTGGCAGCAGCAGATGTCACAACCCGGGTTCACTGTGTGGCTCATCATACAGATCACCGGCTTTACCTCAAGTACCATTTTGACCTGACAGTGTTCGGTCATGTCCCACAGCTGTGCTCACAAGCAGCTGCTGTGCTCCACCTCAGCTGCGCTTCTGCTCCAGCAGCAGGCGAATGGCTTCCAAAGACACACACACGCAACTGCAGAACACGTGCACATCAAAGTATTGATTGCTATGAAATGCTTATCAAATTTTGTCAGTGGCTTGTGCAACCTTCTGCCACTGAATGGAATTACATAATTAACTCTCAAACCTATTTCAATGCACCTAATTTCAGGTAAAGTAGAAATAGCTTCTACGAAAAATAAAGGCATATTTTTAAGTACATGTAGCTAAGTAGCTGTAACAGCAGCTATATAGAGTAATGAAAAGAGATTACAACGTGCATTTTAGTTTTCTTCTGTTATCTATATATTATTACGTATTGTGTATCAAATGTCAAAATAGCTAGCAGAAGCCAGCAAAGTGAAGGGAAAGTTTATTTTTTTAACAAAACCTTATTGCATTATTTAGCTATAATAGGAGAAACAGATGTTACAGCTTTACAATACTGTGTCTTGCAAAACTTCCTTCTAAATGACTATTCGTGCTCTACATGTTTTGGACTGTGCATGGAGAGCTCTGCTAACAGTTATGGGAAGCATCGCATACATTAGTAAAACCCACATTAAGATAATTAGTGCTAAAAAGAATCAACAAGCTTTTTTTTTTTTCCTTTTTCTTTATAGTATTGATTTAGTGTGGGTGAGAAATGCCAGATTTTCAGTCTTGAAGATTCATGTTCCACCACAGAGCAGGAGATGGAGCCAGCTTTTCTCAGTGTTCTGCCAATAAACTCTCTGATTAACCGTCTCACGAGCTAGGCAGGAGATTCAGGCTTTATCGTCTTTGATCCTTAGTCTCTCTAACAGACCTAGAGAATAGGGGACTGCCTGGGACAAGGAACTCTAATCTTGTATCTCTGTGGCTGTACCTACCCTAACATTTTCTCAGCAGCAATTTTCAATATTGTTGACAATGAAAATGATCAGGAGGCAGTACTGAAGCTGCACTGTTGCAGAGGTGGCTCGGGCAGAGATCTATGGGGAAGCTTTTTACAGCAGAGGAGGGCTTTGTGCCTCATTTTGTAACTTATGTATATCCTCTAAACTGCAAACTCCATTCTAATACATATGTTTCCATAAGGGCTCTGTAACCTTTAAAAATCCAATGAAGGGTTTTACATATCACTGAAATCTTTGTCTGATGGCAACTTTACCTTCTGCAGATCCAAGCAATGCCAATACACAGACATGTTATCAAATGTGATTGGATTACAGCAGCTTAAAAAAATTACAGCCCGGTCCCTCAAAACTTTGCTTACTGCTAAATTGTAGGCTTAGAGCATGTGCATGAACAGCTCTGACTACACTGTGGATGGGCATTTCTTGCTAAACCACCACAACTTGAGTTTATTCTCTTCGGAAAGGAGCCACTGTAGCTATGCATATGAGAAGAGTAACAAGTCTTATTAGAACTTTCAGTACTTCCTTTAGTTGCAGAGGTAGGCAGGTTAGTTGAGGATGATATTATTTTGTTTGAGGTTCAGTAGGGTTGCTTTAAAACCACTTGCTTTCAGGCAAAGTGATAATCAGTCTAAGCAGTATAAGACTTTTATAGTGGAAGGCCAACACATCTTTTTTTCATTCAATCTGCAAGAATAAACTGAGCACAGCTGTTTTACTGAAAACAACCCACTGGTATTTAAGCAGATTAACAAAATTAACTGTGAAAATCCTCTGCTATAGGAAAGCCAATAACCTGTTGGCCACAAGGAGGCAGGGCAAGGATTCAGTAAACGCAAGTAATTGCTTTTACATAAAAGAAAGAAAAAAGAAAAAAGAAAAAAAAATGAGTGTTAAATTAGTTCAGTCATGAAACTCTGAACTGCTAGGGAAGATAAAAAGCACTTTCCAGTCAGTGTGTGGTTTCAGGATTGCTGTTTTAGACCAACAGCAGCAAATATCTTAAGATATTAAACAATAGCTTATGTGGCAGCAATTTTCTGCTTCTTTTGAAGGAGCACATCACACATGTTTTTTCTTCATCACTTCTGTGTGATGTGCACTAGAAAAGAAGGCTCACATGCTGAGCTTTGATAGCAAGGGTGGATTTACCAAAAGAGAGCAAGAAGCCATACAGTCAAGTTCTCAACATTTTGTTCCAAAGCTAATAAATCCTGCTTCTTAGCAAGCATCGAGGCAGGCCTGGGAGCTCTATCTTTCATTGCAGCACTTCTAATTCTGGACTAAAAGTAGGCAGGTAGGCGTCTGTGTACCGTACCAGGTACCTTACACACAGTACAGTACAGGAACATTTCCTCTATTTGGAATTGTAGGGCACTCCAAAATGAACTCTAACTCAAGTTCAAACTTCTAAATGACAAAAGGGGCAAAAGGTGACACAGTATTCATGTATCGAAAAGAATTACATTTAACAGTGAAACAAAACCTTCCGCAGTATTAACATATAACACTCCAGATCTATCAGCGATGTTCAGTTTCATATGTGACTGTACTGCAAGCTCTGCCACTGTGTGCTACTGAGCTAGGTAATTTCAGCCCCTGTGCCTCTGTTTTCTCATCTTTTAAACAGTTGCTTTTCTTCTTTGTGAAGCAGTATGAGGTCCACGGATAAAAAACATGCTAAGAGAACTAGTTATTATTAATGCAATTCAGATATGGAATGCACCAGATGGTAAAATCTCCAGGATTTTAATGAACTATTGTAACAGAACATATGTAATATGACGTTATTGTAAGAGGCATTTAAATGTATAGTTAGTACATACAACGTGACCTGCTCTGCTCTCTGTAACTCCACTGGAATTATTTTGGATTTATGTCAGATAATACTAGGAACACAAAATAGCCCCATATGTGCAATGTGGTAAGGTTTTCATAGCAATGCAATCTTAACTATTGCCTTTCCTGTTTTTAGTTTTTGCCTAATGGCAAAGAATAAGCTATTATTCATTAGCTAGCATCATAAAACAGTTAATTGTGAAGCAGCAAGAACTTTTCCTTCTTATTAACTATATTCTGTAAAGATTATGTCTTTGATACACCTTATGCTACATTTGGACAGCAACTCATGCTTGTGTCAAAAGAGCCAAACATTCAGTTTCAGTTTGTTAGGGCAGTAATATCTCCTTTTTCCCGCAGCACTGGAGTTCTGGACGTTATGGATAACACACGTGGGGAAGTGTGAACTGCAGCTCAGGCCTCTGGCATGGCACATTATAGTCAGAGGCAGGTACTGACTTCAGTACAGGAAAACATGGAGATACTCTCATGCATAATAATTCTAGCATATCTACAATACAGACTATAAAACTGAAGTGAACTGACATTTAATATACGAGAGGCTGGAAGCAAGCTATCAATTTCACATCATAAATTAACCTTTGTACTCGTGCCCAAAGATTTGGCTGATTACTCATTGCCATCCCTTAGTGCTTAAGCAGTCTTTTCCAAAGCAAGGCAGTTAAACCACAAAAACGTACCGTAGTGTCCACAGCCCTGACCTTCTCAGCAGGAACGTGCTTTGGAATGGGTTCTTCTACTGATATCATCATGCAGCCTTCTGCTCCAAGAGTAACAATTACGAGCTTACACCCTCTTTCTAACAGCATGCGTCCCACCTTTTCAGCATCTTCAAGGTTGCCAACTGGGATGCCCGTTAAAATTTCCGCCTGGAAAATAACCCACGCAAATGAAAATCATAATCTGATAGCATTCAGTTTTGGACAGCAGTTGCTTTTGAAAACAGTACTTAATATCATTTTAGAAATGTGTCTTATGAGATGATCATGAAACCACTTCCTACGCTGATATTCAGCTATGTCATGCTCCTTGTTTGAAATCAGCATGTACTTCAGGCACAGAAGATTAGTAGAGAGCAGCCTAGGCAGAGACACAGGAAGCATGGGTTCTGTTCCAGCTTCTACAATTTGCCTCCCATGCAACCTTTACCAAATCACATTTCTCCTGCATGCCCTGGTTTCTTCATTCTGAAACGGACACAATGACACAGTCTTGGTAAAAGCATTTTGCTGTCTAATGTGAAAATGCTACACGGCAGCTCAGTCACTACTCTTGGGGGATATTTATCACTATACAAGAAAACTTTTACAGTTCTCAGGGTTCAGCTAGTGAGAAATCTCTTCAAGGAAAAAAAAACAAAAACACAAAAGTGCTCAACTGGTAAACTTGACCACTGAGTTTACTTTAATATGTATTTTTAGATAAGAATACCTAAAAGTCATCTGAAGCTCTCTTTAGGCAAAGGCCCATCACAAGATGATTATATATTTGAGTGTCCATAGTCCTCTGCCAGGGCTGAGACTCTTTTGTGTTGGCTCTGTACAAACAGAGATAAACTTCTCTTCTAACAGATGGTGACCCTAAGTCAACTTCTCCCAGTTGGCTCTTAAAATTAATCTCTTCTAGTTCCATGCACCTAAAAGCAAAATTCCCCAAAAATCTGCAGTGAAGACTTCAGAACTAAATATCCTTTTCTTCACTTCATACATTTTCCTGATGGCATCTCATTTGCCATGTACTTTTTTTGGCAAATGATCCATGACAAGAGTCGGACAGGAAGAAAAGGAAAATACAGTATGTTTTAACTGAAACAGTCTAGCAAGCAGTATTCCTCCTGCCTACTAGAGTATGACTTATTTGTAGGTAAACTGGCACACTGTATACTGTTGTCTTTACTATATATTGTCTCGCTTGTCTGAGAAGAGGGAAGTCGTACTTTATCTTGAACTACAAGACTGCTGCTTCCTGAATAACGCAGTCTGAAGCAGTTTCAAATAACCATCTATTAACTGGACATAACTTTCATGGTCTTGGGGCTTGTTTTCAGTAGAAAACTTACTTTGGAACCTTTTCACCAGCTACGCGTCCTAACTTCTACCACATGGACAACTCAGCTTCCTGGGAAACAGCTGCTGAAATATTTCAAACTACCTTTCTCTGCATTACAGAAACTTGAAATCAGCACGCATATTTCTTTCCGAAACAGAACATACAACACAGTGGTTGAACAACTGCTCCAGAAGTACAGGCACGCTTGTCCTGCAGAGGGAGGCAGGGCAGACAGCTGGGGACAGGAACTACTACAGCCATCCCCAAGCAAGCCGCCCCCACTTGTGACTCAGAGGCCTCATAGCTTGCCACTGTCATTTCCTGTGTTTCAGCCTGACCCAGAACAGAGAAGTCACCCTTAGGCTCCGAAGGGCCAGCATATGCCAACGCACTGCCTTAGGGTTTGTTTTATCATGAACAGAGTACCTACTGGTTTGAATTTTGGAACTGACAGGATCTAGTCCTGCAGTCCCTACTGGGACAAACGCACAGATGTTTTCAGGAGCTGTTAATTTGATAACTACAAGGCAGGATTCAGTGTGGCAAGACTCGGTGGGTATAACATGTATACACAATTTAAAACTTTTTTTGTTTTTTAAGCCACACTGATCCCAGACAAAAATAAAGTAAGGTTTAGATTATAAGGTAGCAAATAATTCTACTCAGTTTTTCTTTGGCAAGTCACCAGACTGATGAAAATTTTCTTGCAGCAGAAACTATTTAGACAAATTAGATGTATTTAAGTTTTTTAAAGGGTATAAAAGTATTTTCAAATACGAGAATTTGTTTCAAAAATACCCAACCAAGTATTTTGAATACATTGTCATGCAAGGTTTGCAAGGAATCAGTACACCAATAATGGCTTTGGAGTGACTAGGGACATATAATAAATAGTATTAAAATACATATAGTCTATTCTGATAACCAAGAGACTGAGTTGTCTGTGTCTCTTACTGAATTTGGAGATCTCAGGAGCAGGAACTGTGTGTTCCCATATTCATAATACTTAGCACAAGAACAAAAATGGATTACCAAAATGCACACACTACTCCTTGAATGAAACTGACTAAAGGAATTTATAACATACTTCAATGATGTGCAGTAATTCCAAACGCTCAACATGCTGTAAAGTCTCAAGGAAGAAAATGGATGTGGTTATGGAAAAGAAACAGTCCAACTTTGGCTTATTTACCTGGAGTTTACACTTCTTTAAGCTTATGAGAAAGATAAATATTTAAACATAATATTCTTCCTAATGAGACATATATTGTGTAACATACCCCTTTTTGTGATAGCTGTGCCCCAAGCCAACAGGATTTTTTGTCTGGGTTGTGAAAAGTTATTTGGGGACTGATAATGTGACAGGTTTTGCAGAAACCTTTCTTCTTGCCTTCGTACTGCTTACACCAATAAACACATTTATTTTGAACCAAAGTCTGTATAAAAGTAGATCTTCAGTTGCTTGCAACCATTATCATCTAACTCATCTATAGCAGGATTGTAAAACTAAAACACTCTGGAACAAGCTGGAAGAACCATAAAAGCAGCAGAAGCCAGACAGATTTTGTGCCAATAATTAGAGATTGCTGTAAATGTCAACTGATGTTAAATACTGTGGTTAGATTTTAAGTTCCTCCCTTCAGTAGAATCTTATAAAAAAAAGAAAAGAAAAAAAAAAGGCAAAACAAAACAAACTACAGTGCAACTGAAGGAAATAACTAATATTTACGTAAAGGAAAAAAATTAAATAACAATACTAAAAGTTCAGAGTGGACATTTGCCATAGTACTGTACAGAAGAGCAGCAAATAAATAAATTTATTTTCCTGTGCTGGTCTCATGAAGCTCCTCACTTAGATGGTCTAACTAAAGCTAGAGGACATTCCACAAACCTGCTGTCAGGAAAAAAAAAAAATATATATATATATATATATATATATATGTAATTAAACTACAGAGAATTTTCTATATTTTGTTTACAAAAGTAGAAGAAAAATTTATCTGAAGCTTTTAACTGATACAAAGGTTCTTGGCAATACTCCTCATTATTCTCTGTTAATTATTCTTGTCTCTTTAGACTGTGGAGTCTAGTTGCAGTCCGCTGACACAAATCAGCACTGATACAGAAAAAAAATGGTCCTGCTTTGCCTTTCACTCCTGTCCACATGGCCCATTCTCTTGTGCAAGCACAGCTATTTGTGTGGCCAGGAAATAAGCTGGATTGAAAAGCAGATCTGTGCTAAAATTAAGCCCAAACTAAAATAAGATAAAGTGAAACAATTGACTCCTTTCAACATCAGTACTAGTTTGCACTGGCTAAAAGTGATAAAGAAACCATGATGTAGATCTTTGCCAAGTGTTTCTAGCAGTGGTGCATGCAGGGCACTCCATGGCCTACACAGCCTCTTTCAGGGAAAAGTGCTGGATCCTCTTGCCTGGCATTTGTGAGACCAAATCTTCAGGACAATCTAGTCTTGAGATCCCTGGCAGAAGTAAGACACTGACATACTACACAAGCCCAGTGGGAGGCCAGCAAAACAGGTAGGGACCAGAGCGTAGGACATACAAGCAGCAGCTGGGAGAAGCAGCTCTGTTCAGCCTCAAAAACCTAAGGCTAGGGAGAGATCTAATTGCTGGCTACAACAATTTAATGTGTGTATAATAGAGAAGAGAGAACCACTCTTCTTGGAGCTGCACAAGAATAGGGCTAGACTCAACTGGCACAAGCTGGAACATGGAAAATTCCAGCATTAGGAAAAACTTTTTCACTACCAGAGTGATGCAGCACTCGAGCAGGTATCCAAAACGGGGCACGGGCTCCCCATCCCCGGAGATTCAAAACTTGAAAGGAGAAACCCTGAGTGATCTGACCGAAGCTAGCACTTCTTCACCAGGACTGAGATCTCCAGAGGCTTGTTCCTACTCAACAAACAGAAACTGATGAGATGACAAAAAATGTGAACTCTTCAGTGAGAAGTCCATCTTTGGCTTTAGTATCCACGAAGCACCAGCACAAGGCAACTTTGCAAACGTTGCCAGGAACAGAAATCATAATAATAAGCAAACTACCAGGCTTAAGGCTAACTTATCTAAAATTACATATGACAATTTAAAATACTTTTAATGTTAAGTATTTATATACAGTAAGCCAGTTGGCTACAAACTTGGCTGTATCTGATTTCTAAGATTTCTTTGAGAATGACAGAAAAAGAACTTGATCTTGTTAATTCTAACACATGATGAGTCCCAGAGAAGTAGTGAGAGACAGTTTTGGTATATATACAATTGCAAGATCAGGCCGTAAGCCAAGCTAATTCCAGTTGTTTCAAATTATAAAACTTTTATATACATACATGAAGAAATACTTATGCTAGAGTAATTAAAAACTGATTGAAATGAATTGGCTTGAAGCTATTCTCTCCTCTCCCAAAAGTAACATCTTTCATTTTAGACTAAATATGGGAAATTTCATAGTTTCCAGCAACAGATAAAATAGACAAAGTTGGAATTTAAATTAAAATATACTGTGAATTTCCAGCAACTTCTATGTAAGAAGAAATAGTAGCTTTCCTTTACTTACAACAGGAAAGGCAAATTCCTGAGACTATCTCAATTATTAACCAGTCTATATTAATAAGCAAGATCTCAGATGTCCTGCTCTAGGACTTCAGATACAGTTGTATAAGCTTGATATTCTCTGAATCTTGTAAAAGCCATTGCTGTCTACTGATTTTGGACATACTAACAAGAATTTCCATTATTAATATTTCTTTCAAAAATGTTTCAACCTCAGCTAATAGACAATAGCTCAAAGGAAGCAAAATGATAGTAACTATTATTTTGTAATATTTTTATACATCTTGCAGCTTTCTTTAAGAAAATTAGCAATGAATTTATATTTAGATGTACTTTTTCTACCATCAAAACCCTTAAGTATGCTGTCAACATTTAATTAAACATTTGCTAGGCCCTTCTTACTTAGATCAGGAGTCTGATATCCATTTTACATTAGGAAGAAAGAAGTTCCCAGTGTTGCATTAAAAATAGCCTGACATGCCAAATCATTTGCTGCAACCATTTAGGAGTTTTCCTTCTCCTGAAGGGCTCTTCAGTATTCTCTGAGCAGAGAAGCAGCTGTTCTTCAAAACGTTTAGGACCAAATTCAAATTGCTGACATGCAATATATTTTGGTTCCTAACCTGCAGGGCTCTGTAATTGCACGCACACACTAAATAAGAAAAACAACACATGAACTCTATTGACATTGTGGTTGTGCCTAGGGCCATACTACAGTAAGGAAAAAAAAAATGGAAAGAAAAAAAAAAGGTAAGCATTCCAAAGAACTCTTCTTGTATAGGGTTGTTTCTTTTTCAACATTTATAGCAGACTGAGAAGAACAACCATTGGTTTTCACTTAGATGACATTGGATACATTTATTTTTCATTAGAAGAATTAAGGGAATGGAGAACTAGCACATTCCTGCACAAACCTCAGGGATTAGGCTGTGCTGCATCTGGGAATTAACAAACTAGTCTCAACAAGCTTGATCTTTCTGGGAAAAGATAAAACTGAACTACAGGCTAAGCAAAGAAAGAACTGATAACCTTGCAAGATTTGTTCTGAGTTTTTTTCTTCATGAACCACATAAAAAGAAAGCAATGTCAGACATTAAAAAAATATTATTGCAACAAGCAAGAGTGAAAAGAACAGCTTGTGAAGAGCCTTCTAGACAAACTAATGGTAGATAATTCACTGATAGTATAATTTTGTTTGCTTCCCTGTAGCACATAAATCCATAAGAACAAGCTGTGCTGTTATATCAGATACTGCATGTGATTTCATTAAATCCTAAAGCAGTTAATGAAGAACAGAGTACAAAGTGTGAGGCATTTGATACTTACACATTTGGGACTCAAAACCCCAAGATTGTATAAAACTGTAGCTGACATTTTAAAATTTTTATTCTGTGACAAAGGTATCACAGATCAAAGCTGCTGACCAGTGTGGAAGTAAACAATAGAGATTTCTGACTCAGTAATAATTCAGCTAATCACAAGGACTATTCCCTTTTACTCATCTCTAGCAAAACAAACGCTCCACACCATCTGTGAAATGTCTTAGGCTCGATGGCTAGCTCTCTGCTCCACAGCTAGCACAGTTCTGTTACAAATATATTCACATGACATCCACAGAGTACAGGACTTAATAACATAAAGCTGTTTTTTGATGAAGAATAAAGATTAAAATATTTAGGTAAAATTATATGATAAATACCTGTAAATTTAAATTCATAAGAAAGCCAAACCAAGTAACAATTAAAATCAGTGAAAATTTAATCTTATCTTAGCATATGTGTCTGTGTTAAAAAGAATGTTTTAGAACCAGCTGAACTGCATAGCTCTACAGAGTTCATCTTTAAACCTGAGACAATTTGTTGAGAGCTATTAAAGGGCTTACTAATGATAAGGCAGAAATAAAATACTAGTTTTCAAGTAGTACTTAAAAATGCTGAATAACAAAAGATCTGCAAAAGAGGTAAGCCTGGAACATAAATGGGGTTTTGGTTAGAAGAAAATTATTTGAGGCTCAGAAATACCAAAGAGGAGCGGCAACGGAGCTGGAACCAAACATCTCAAGAAAGCAGATGTAAGCAGCATATTCAATAAACGTGGCCACAGAGGATTAAAAACAAAACAACCACCAAACCTATAAAATAAGAATGGACACAGTGGGTTAGAGCAAAGGTCCATCTCATTCAATTCCTTTTTTCTGGCTATGAGGGCTACCTGATACTGAGGGAAAGAAGAAAAGAAAGCTGAGAAACCTTTCCCCAGTATGTATTCTGGACCATCAAAGTGGAAGGTAATTCCCAATTTAAGAAGTTGAAGGAAATGCAGATGGATGAATGGAGAAAACCATCATTATTTTAAGATTAGCAGATTTAACTCATTGCTTTTAAATGGCATGTAGAGATGTGACCGGTAACCTTTATTTGGATATGTAAACATTTATTTCTATATTAAACTTCTCAAATGCATACATTACAGTGATCTGAAATCAAAGAAAGTAATGAAATAAACAGAAAACAGATGGCACATGAATATATAACAATTACTAAAAGAAAAAAAAAGATCTTTTGATTTTGGGATATAAGAAAAACAAGTGCTTCATTGATTCATTTTTCCTTTTTTCTCAGCAAAAAGAAAGGAAAAATGGCAATAATTCATCCTTGAACATCAACTCAATAACAAACCAGACATGGAGAGGATGAAGTAAAATATAATTGATTATTAAAAAGATGGTAATGTAATTCATTTCATTGCAAAATATGAGAAGGTTATTGCTAAAAGCAATTATTTATATGCAGTTCTGTGTTCTCAGAATATGCTGTAGGGGTCCCACAGCTCAATCTGTTCTCCCATGATATGGCTGGCAGGAACTTTCATAGGTCTATCATACCCATAAATTCAGAAGAGAGAAGCCTTTCAAACAGCACTGAATTCATTTACCTGACTGCAGGAAGTGATCCCAGCCATCTTCAAACGGTAATCACTTTTTAAAAGAAAATAGCAGAAAAGAATGCAAACTGTACCCCCAGCTCCATGGGTGGGTACAAAGGTGGATGAGTGAGCAGGGATCTATTGTAATTATGCACCTGTATTTCTAGTTCTCCCCATAGAGTAATTTTCTTTTCTCCATGTGGTGGTAATAATAATACGCTCTGGCTCCAGCAAGTAAAACTTCTCAAAGAATGTTTCTTTCAAGACTGTCCTCTAGCAGTAATAAAGGGAAAACTAACATGTGTGCTGCAAAGAGCAACGAGAGAAAAGTCAGGAACAGACAAGTAATGAAAACCAAAGTTTTGTGTCTAACACATGGGGGATAAGTTTTCTCAAGGGGAAAAAAAAAAAAAGCTAGTGACATGATGAAAAAAAAGCAAACAGTGAATGACATGTATTAAATTGATGGGAGAATATGGATGTTCTCAGCCCAAAATGCATGCTGTAGCCCATTTAACCAGTCCAGGGGCATGATTCAGGCATAAAAGAGTTTCCTGAAAGCATGAAGAAAATAATATGGGTGTCCCAAATGAAAACAAGTACTTTGTCTTATCATTCTCACTGTCACATATAACTGAATGCTGATGGCTCTGATAACCACAAATTATATTGCTTCCAACTATACTGGAAGCTTTGCCTACCAGAATCTGGAGGGGCCACAGCATCTCCCACCTTGAAAGAAATGTTTGGCTCATTCCTGAGTACTGTGGTGTATCCGAAATGGAGACGTGTATTGGAACATTTCAGAATAAAATTCCTATGTCAGCTTGGATTAATTAGAACCTTGAATGCTTGAAGACTCATGAACTGAGGACTTCTGATAAAGTTTGTAAAAGGTCTTCACAGAAATTTCAAAAGAGGGTAACTGAGCCTTATTTTGGCAGACACAGTCATCAGACAAAAAAAAAATCATATAGAAAACAGGGCTATGCTTTTAGCCCTCCCCTCTCCTCTGTACCCACAGGTACCATGTTCGTTGCAGAAATCCTGTTTGCTGCAGATCACTGTAACTATGATCAGGGCATGGTTTCTATCTGCTGTGTTGCTTCTTGCACATTCCTGTTTATATAAAGAGAGAGTGAAGAGAAGGAATACAGCGTGCTTTATGTTAATAAATAAGAAATTAAAACCAAGGCTTTGTGAGATGTGCTTAATTTGTCTCTTGTGACAAAAATAATTTGCTTGGGGAGAAATAAAATGCTTGAATTAGAAAAGAGCGGGAAAGATGGAAAGAAAAAGAGAAAACGCACAGTTGAAGGGCCAGAGAAACAGACTCACTGCAAACAGATCTGACAGGAAGAGGCATATGAAGCTGCTATTTACCATCAAGTGCAGCATGCATGCATCACCTCCTGGCAAGCGAGTTTAAAACTGTCAGAACGCTACGGCTAGCGCATTGCTGCTAATCATATGAAGGGACCGCAGAACGAGGACCAGGATCTATTTTAATATTTACCACTCAGTACTAGCATCTTAGTGTCCTTTTATGGATTTGTTTTACTCATCTACTTGTAAGGGAGGCTGGATACAACTTTCCTGCTGGAAACAATTAATTTAATTTTGAATGTAATTGAAATGAATTCTAGAATATTCTTCTTTACTCATTAAGTCAGGGATTAAACCTGTTACCTCCAGAAATCCTATGGAGGAGGAACACAGCTTAGTTTTTCTGCTCCCCATGCTGCATTTCCAATAACAGAATTCCCCTTAAATTTTACTGGTGAAGACTCCTTCATGTATGATTATTACCTCAGTTTCATTGCAGCAGAAGATGTCAGAATGGGTATAAAATTCTGGATCTAGGTCAGCAAGGGCAGGAGCAGGGTTAAACAAGGTTTTTACTGAAAAAAAAATGGAAAAAAGTCTAAACCTCTAGTATTTTAGATTAACACAACACCTGGAATATCATTGTGGTTAATACCTTCCAAGATTGCATTCACAGCCCCCAGTGTTTAGCATTAAATGCAAATGACTCTCATTTTCTATGTCTTCATTTTATAGAACTGCTAGAAGTTTTATTATATTAAAATTCCCATCTAATTAATGTTCAGTCACATAATAGGAACATGACAGACAAGTAACAGGAAAAAAAGCAACAAATTATTAATTAAAAAAAAAAACAGCACAGGAAAAGTCTTAAGCAAATACAAATTGTTTAACTGATGGTTCTTCTTAGAGGATTTTAACAGGTTTTACAAGAACCTATTTAGTTCTAGATTTTTTTCTATGTTGTTATCTGCATTCTATACATGAAGAGACAGGGATATAGACTAATGAAGGACGTGTCCAGACAGGGATTTAAATGTGGTTTTGAATGTGTTACCTAACTTGTTCAAACTGCCACACTGTAAAACTCTAGTGTAGACAAAGCACTGTATATTTTTAATATGTTATCTGGCAGAGCTAAAACCTTAGCTAAGGTATGGTAGAATATGTTAGTTAACCTAATCCGAAACTGTAGCCTAAGGCTCTGTGTAACAGTAGAAAAGGTTTGTCATGAGGACAGAGTGTGACTTCACTGGTAATACAGGAAGTCCTCAGAGTTAGTTTCTCATTTTGCCAATGTTATGTTGAATGCTGCTGTCTTTTAACTACACGGCCATCGCTTTTATATAAAGTGTACTCTCTTACTTGAGAAATATTGCAAGTGATCAAATCTTCCAATTCAGATGTCTGTATTTTCAGCCCTATATGTTTATTTAGACTCTAAGCTATAGTACACGGACACCCAGAACACTTCTGAATCCCACTTAGCTCCCTAAAGAGAAAGATCCTCAAAGCTTTCCGAAATCTCAGCTCCAAGAAGGTTAGAGGATACTCATTTTGATTAATAATTCAGAAAGTTGCCTGTGACTTTATCATGTCTATTTGTCTTGTTAAAAATAATCTTATTTAAAGCACAAAGGCATTTACTCAGAAGTCAGAAAATGTCAGAATTAGGATTTCCAGTAAAATCTTCATTTGGCTCCCTTACATTATTACAATACAGTATGTATTATAATAAACTCTTTAATTATATGATCACATACCACTGAAAAACAGCATGTGAACACTTAATTAAAGACTGCAACCTAATATATATGCAGAAAAGAGACAAATTAAGCTTTCATAGGCAAACTTAACTCTTACACTTCCTATTTTCTGAATTGCCACCCTAATTAAGTTTTTTTTTATTTAAAAAAAATATATATATTTAAGGTATACATTCATAAGCAAAACAAACAAACAAAAACAAACAGTACATACTGAAAAACAAACTCAGTCCTATAGTATTATAATGACATATACAATGGTCATGAACAGCACTAGAAGTGTTCCAGCTTGGGCTTTAAGTAATGCAGACTCATCATGAACAGGTTGGAATATGTTGGTATTATGTAGTTCACTCCCATGTTTAATATTTGCTGAGCCACTGGGGAGATGGAAGAACCTTAAGATTGTCTTTCAGACTGTGAAAAACAGGACTTGTGTTCCCCTTAGGAACACCAGATTATTTTCTGCCCAATCTCTGCCTTTCCATTTGCCAAGATCCATTCTCCTAACATACTTTCCATTCCTAATAGTATGAATACAGAAGAGACAAAGCTGGGTTGGAATGGTGGGGGGGGAAGCATAGATTTCAGACATGGGAAGCATAAAAGGAATTAATTTTTTGAGATGTCAGAGGAAGAAGGAAGAGAACTGAAAGGAGAACCTCTATTTCCTTGGCCTCCAAGAGATCAATATCAGCGTAAAAGAAGCTGCTTAGGATCAGAGTCAGGAATGACTCTGAAAGTCTGTGTTGAAGGTAGTTACCTTCCAAAAGCAGGTAACACAGTAAAAATTAGGCAGATTTCCATACTGTAAAGTCTTATCTTTAAATGAAATCTCCCTTGGTATCAAGTCTTTACTAAGTTTTGAGGTAGCCAGTCTACACCTTTTAAAGGCACGTAGACTGGATGGCAGTTTTCCATGGCCTAGTTTCTGAAGCCACTGTCTTGGCAGAATTCTACAAATAATTTAACCACGGATAAACAGCTTGTATGAAAAACTGCAACCCATGATTAAAAAGTTGAAGCACTTGATCTACTTGAAAGTGACATACAACCTTAATAGCTGAAGCTGCTTCCAGACCTGGTTAATGCCATTCTTCCCTACAGTGTTAACAGGCTGGAGTTATCTGTCTTTATATAGAGAGTTATCTGTCATTTATAGAGCTTGGCATTACAGGAGCCTGAAAACCGCTTTACAGACTTTGGTGCACGATAATATTTTGCCCATAAATGAAGTGATTCTCCTCTTGGAAGCAGCATGTGGCCATTACAACCTAACATTTTCCAATCAGATTTCCACTGCAATTTATACCCACTTAGGTTATTCACAACCCCTCCCTTCCTTCCTTCTTGCCTTTCCTTCACTCTGAGATTGTCTTCAACAATCAGTGCTACAATTACAGGATGTCAGAACACGAGATGTCTCCCTCTCTAACAAATCTGTGTCATGTGCACTAAACAGAAGCAAAGGAGTTTTGCCTGAGCATCCATATTCTTTCTCCATCTTTATGGTTATTTCGTTTCAGTAAGAATGAAGAAAAACAAGCAAAAAAAAAACAACCTTGAAGCTGTGGTTTGAGACATCTGGATATGCATCTGTTCAACAAAAATACTGCACATCCTAACACACATTACTGCATTATACATGAGCGTATAGCAGGGTAAAAAGAAAAAAAGAAAATTGCATTAACAATTTAGAATTGGCTAAGGATGGATTTTTACAATGCTACAAACTCAGCTGTTTATTTAAATTTGACTGCATCACGACACGTGAACATGTGTAGCCAGTTGCTTTATAGCAGAAGCAACCCAAACTCTGCTGACACAAGACCTGCACAATGACAGCAGACTGACAGCACAGAACTAGTGCTGGCCCACAGTTACCACAATCTCTCCTCAATATGTTGTGTTCTCTGCAGTTGCTAAATGCCTGCATGCCTGTTGTGTGTATCAGGTTTGGATTTTCTGACATGGGCTGGTATCCTGCCATAAGGAAGTGACAAAAAAATAAAGCAACTTTACTAGAACTATGTGCAGACTTAGAAGAAGACAAAATAAGTCATTGATATTGGTTCATGAACCAATTATATTCCATTAGCCACTAGATTAACAATATTATCAATTTTCATAAAAATTTAAAACTAAAACATAGCAAGTTCTGTTGCCCCCTCCTTACGCAGACTGTAAGCATCCCAGGTGCTAGTTACTCAGTTAAGTGAAGTTTAGATTTTTTTTTTTTTAATTTGCATTTCAAATAGAAGCAAAAAAAAATTCTTCTGTGTGCACAGAGTATAGTTCGTACAGTTTAGGACGATTACCGATATTACTTTGCATGTAACATAGCCACTTGAATCAGCACAAAATATGTGAAAAGGATGCATGAAGTTCTCCTACATCTGAAGAACTTCTCCAAAAGAGTGGTCAGGTGCTGGAGTGCCCAGGGAGGTGGTGGAGTCACTTCTGGTGGTGTTCAGAAAATGTTCAGATGTTGTACTAAAGGACATAGCTTAATGGAAAATATTGGTGATAGGTGGATGGTTGGACTGGTTGGTCTTGGAGGTCTTTTCCAACCTTGGTGATTCTATGGTTCTGACTCTATGATGCCTTCACTAGTGCATGAACAACAGAAATGACAACAGCTGCACAGCAGTGCTCAGTGCTGCAGGGGGACTGAGGAGCAAAGAAGCCCAAGGTGCTATGATCTACTGGAGCAAGTCTGGACCCAGCTGCAGGGATCCAGTTAGTTCTGATCCCAGTTCCTTCTGCGACCAGCTGCACAGCTGACCATTTGAGCTGTTCCCTCATAGTCTATCCACAGTCTTGATAAATGAAAACAACATAAGTTTAATACCATATAGATGCTTCACTTGCATAATTATTTACTTAGCGTTGTACAAATACTGTGGTAATTGTGCTTGAGTAACTGAAGGAATTACAGACACTTAAAGAACAAAAGCATCATGTTGGTAGTGAAACCCCATCTTGTTCAAGCAAAATGCCAGCTTTTATCCAGGTATATTCTACACTGAAGGAACAAGGGCCTACGTTTAAAAGTACAGCACAGTAACAATTACTAATAATTTCACAGACCATAGACCATGACTGTCTATCCAAAGGCAGCATGCCAACTCACACTCTAAGAATCTTTGTTAAAAAGAAAAAGCTCTTTTTTAAAAATTTTAAAATTAGGGATATTAACTTCCATGCAGAAAACCACAGTCATACTTACTGCTTTGATACAAGAACAAGGGCATAAGTCTGTTTTTGAGGTTATTTCATTCACTTTGTTGTGTGCAGAACTCAACTGACTTGCATTCTTTATGCTTGTTCTGCACTGGCACAAGACCAGAGTCAGGCCCATAGTTCCTGACCTAATGACATTACAGTGTCTTTAGTCACAGCATGAGAATCAGAGAAAAAGCAGTACCAGCCATATATGGGATTAGAAGGGTAGAGACTGATTTGCCATTCAAGTTAAATGTAGCAAAATTTAAAAACTGAATTCGGTTTTCACTAGCGTAGCGTGAATTTGTTGGTCACTGTTTCAGTTCTAAATAATACTGGTAGGACAGAAAAGTCCACATGATCTTCACTTTGAAAGCACAATAAAGAATAGTTTTCATGTAACACGAGCGAAGGACACAGAAAGGCTTATGCTAAATTACCTCCACTGGCACGTGCCATTTTCAGCGCTTCAAGAGAAACAGCAGGGGTTATTTCTAGCTGGCAGACAACCACTTTGGCTTTACAGATGATATCAGAAGCTCTCTTCAGGTCTTCAGAATTTAAAAGCAGATTGGCTCCTGGAACTATGACAATAACATTCTGTCCTAAAGAGAAGATATAATATTTTTTGCCTTAACTTTTTGCAATAAAGTATGTAAAACAGTCCTTTGCTTTTCTACAATACCTTTTAGATGATGATTTCAGTTTTCTTTCAAAAAACCCCAGAAACAATTTAATACTTGTGGCATTTTCAAATATCCAATTATATCAGAAGATAATCAAAACAATTGAAGGATTAACAAATGCAATACAGTGCAACAAATGCAGTATATATTTCTTCAGGAAAGTCATGAATGAACTTTCCCCACTCTTATTTCAGTGTTTCTAATGAACCGTAAAGAAGCACCATACTAGTCACAGTGAAGATATGGAACATACACCAAGACTGATACGTGTCTTTTCCTAAAGTACTGCAATAGTGTTTGAAGACAAAAGCATCATGATCAATCTTCCCGTGAGCAGGTAACAGGATATTTCACAAAGCAATGAAAATTATGTGTGTCCAAATTATGTGTTTCAGAAATGCAGACTTTCTCTGTCTATTTGTGAAGCTTCAAGTTAGAGCCCCTAAACAATATGAAAGCCAGAATCAGCATGTTACAAAAAAAACAGAGATAATGCTTGTGGCTTAAGAAACCCTTACCAGAAGTAAGTAAGAAAAGTGGATAACAGACTTTTCTGAACTTGAAGCTGGCTGGTTGAATGCTCTAAGCAAAGCCTTACACACACAAGCCCAGCAGTATCTCAAAGCACTCTAAGATCCTTTTCAGTCTTGTCGTTTGTTTTACAGTTAGGTGAAGAGGTTCATTTAAGTAGGTTCCAAATAGGTTTTTGTTTTTCTCCAGACTGCAAGTTGCCCTCTTTCATTGCAGTTTCTTTGTTTCTTTTTTAATCTCTGTTACAACACCTAGAGACCTTCAGGCATGGGTGCCTTCAAATTAAAATTTATTATTAATCACTCAGGTATTAAATTCAATAAGTCAGTTGTTCCTTGATTTACAGGCTCAGCCCGCCCCCGCCGAAGGTTCCTTTAAGGACTGCCAATCATTAAAGGATACCAATTCTGTGATGAACTGAATTACTCTGTAAATAAATATTTATGTTTTTAAGTACATTATTTTTCTTGAATAAGACTTCAAAGTCCTTTGAATAAGAAACGTGCAAAGCTTGTCTCCCTAAATGTGCTCTGAAAAGAAAGCAGGACAATGGAAAGAATAATATAATGATCTCAGAGGGAGGGGCCCAAGCTTTCCAAAGCAATTCTGCTGTCAATGGTTTGGTACAGAACAGCTGCATTTGAAAAGCAAAACCTCAGCATTTAAAGCCAACGCCCTGCTTTTCAACAGACAATGATGGGCATCTCCGATTAAAAAACAGAAAGAAAAAAATCTTCTGCAACAAGCAAATGCTATCAAAGATATCTGAAACCTGCAAAGGAGACTTTCAAAGGCAAAAAGCAACTATTTTGCCAAGCATATATGCTGAAAGTTTATGTAATAAAGCAGTAAATAGATAAATAAATAAACCACAACGAATTGGTAGAACAAAATATATTTCATTTCTGCCTTGACTCCATGCTACATAGAATCTGAGACTCTATCTACATGTCTTGCTGCATTATCTTGCTAAACTATTTAGCTGTACTGACATGTATATTATTATTAGTCTTTAGAGCTAATGGCCCAAGGCGATAAGGAAGGCTGTTTGCTTAAACTTATATGTGCAAATTCAAGATAGACCATGCTGCATTGGATTACATTCAGAAGCTTTTCTTTGTAACAACAAAAGGCCAGAGACTTAAAGTCTGCTTTAAAGCAAGCAAACCATACCTGCCAGAGAAATAAAGTACCTACTGCGCTGTAACAGACTCGACTGGCTTAAACTCAAGCTGTAAATAAAAAGCCACATTCTGTTCTTAGCTATGCATACCACACTGACTGTGAATGACAACAGTCACCAGAAATTTATACCAGTGTGCATGAAAGCACAATCTCGACCCGCGTATTAACAACTAATACCAGAATTCTGTATTACCAGCACCCATCTTGTTGGAAGCAACTATTTCTTGCCAGGGAAATCAGATGGGAAATCAGCACCAGGGACAACAGAGTTAAAGACAGATGGTAAACAGGGGACGGATTCATCTTGTCCAACATTAACAAATTTCAAGTTTTCCAAAACATTCTACATTCTAGAGAATTCTAAGAAAACTAATTTCTAAGGATTAGTTTTCTAGGTTCCTTCAACAAGGAGGTAAGTATTTTCAGATGTTTTTCAGTCTTCCGTTTCTTAGATAGCCTTTTGAGGTGAACATAAACTATCTGAAAAATGTCTGTGTTCAACTGTAGATGAAGCTTTAAAACATTCACATAACTCAGAAACAACTCCAGTGAGGTGAAAATGTTGCCCATACTAAGAATGACAAAAAGATATTCACTGTGTTAAAGCTAATTCTAAAATATTAGTGCACAAACTAAAAGTTCATAGTTTTTTGTAGGGAGCATCTATAGAATTGTAAGTTTTGCAGATGTCAGCTAAAATAAAGGCCACATTCACAGCTCTTGAAAACTAGAATAGCTAAATAAAGCTGATAAACTTACGGAAGCTTACACCAGATGGTGATTGAGTCCAATCAATACTTTAAACAGCACATGTATGTATATGTAAATACTGTTCTTGGCTGGCCTTCTAACCCTGCTGCTGTTCCTTCTTAGAAGGCTAGATAACTCCAACTATATTTTTCTTCCAAGTATCCTTTTATACATGCCACCAGATGAGAACTCTCAGTGGAAAGCAGTAAACACCACAGTGCAATAATCCTCACTTTACTGTTAATACAGGATGAAGAGGCTAAAAGTCATCAGTAGTAGAACTTAGAACTCATTAAAGATCTCAAAGAATACAGTTTAAACAATAGGTACAGAACTTCTGAATATTAGTTAATTGGGAAAAAAGAACATGTTTGTGACCAGAAAATAATGTTACAAGGAAAATATTTGCTGCTAAATCACACAATTCATGACTACAAGGGCATGTTTTGGGTGTGTCATAGTACAATAATTTCTGTGGAGTGATTTGGTAGAAGCACTGAACAGTTTTCTACATAGAACATTCAAGTTTATGATGAATGTCAATATATAGAAATTCTATAAAAATTCAGTGACATTTATTTACAATCCTGAAGGTTCAAAACAAAATTTTCTCTTTGGAAAGTACAATTCAATCAAGTTGGCATATGTATTCTAACTTTGCTGTGTTTATTGAGCCCAATTGAAATGTATATTTTGAATGTTTTTATACAACCAGTGCTTCAGTACTGAAAGTACATTTACTTACAAATATTGCATATTCACTGTTGATGAATGATTAATATCCTCATCAAGTCAGTGTAAAGCCTATCTCAAGTGAAGGTTATCTCACAGTATTCTCTATAGGTGAATTTAGTTTCAGCTTGCAATAATCAAGAGCACTTAAATCATGACCTACCAATCTCTGTTGTCCCCTCAAGTGAATATTTGCCATGAATATGAAAGTTGTCAGATTGGTTCAAGCTACTGGTCCAGTCAGAGCAGCTTAATGGCAGCATCAAGTCAGTACCAGATATGGACAAAGCTGCAATAAGCTTTAGACATAATTAAGTAAAAGAAATTATTCATAAAGAGTTTTTTTCCTTCTCTACATATATACATAAAGGTCCAGTACATCTCATAATTTTATGGAGTTCTTACGACTCAGTAAAACACCATTAGCAGAAGGTGTGGTTAAGTGATAGCTGGTGGAAAGAAAGCAAGCTGAAAGAAGAAGCTGCAGTTCAGTGGTACAACGCACCTCAAAGAAAACATGTTAAGAAAACTGGCTTGAGGTACCAATTTTTCTCCTTGAGAGTAGAAGTACAGATTAGAAGTACACAGAGTCCCAGAGTTGAAGATTGTGTTTGATCTAAACCTATCTGAAAAGGAAGTCATATAAAAGAAAGAACTTGACAGGAACACCAGGTTCCAGAAAAAAAGTGCTGTACAGATTTTTGAGACCAGCCCAGAGTGAATCTTTTACAGCATCTCTGGGTTGTACATTATCCAACACTACCATAAACTTGTTAAACATCTCCCCGCCATTTTGAATTAAAGCATGATTTAACCTTTCTTTCACTGAAATGACACTGTATTGTCTCCAAATATAATGCATTTTTGAGAATATAAAATGCACTTGATAATTTTCCATTTTTTAATTATTTTGCCAATTAAAATAATGGTTGAGTTACATCTGTGTAACTCAGCAAAAATCTTCCCAGAAATTCAGCAGCAGTGCTGGACAGACAGACACAAGTAATGCAAGGGAATCTCTACTTCAGAACCTCCTCTGATTCTGGTTTCATTGGTTTTCTTTTCCTCCATCATAGTATGCTCTCTCTATTTGAGAATCTCTCCCACTTCCTCCTGTGATATTACACTGTTGATTGCAGTTGGTATTTTCTGTAAGTGTCACTACTTGTAAAGAACTGGTAAGATGCAGGTGAGGCACACAAAAATACAGCAATTAAAACATCATGATTTAAAGCAGTATCTATGTTTTCTATTTGCTTCTCATTATCTTAACACAAACCAAGGCCCCCTGTCCCCCCTACACACCACCAAATGCTTCCCTTTTACATATAATTTGAGCTTGCAGAAACTGTTTCACATGGGTCTGCACTGACTGCTGTGATGTCTCAGCTACGCCAGCTCAACTACTGTGGTAAAGCATGCATGTGTAGACAAGCCCTTTAAAAAGTGCGGTAAAACCTGTTTAGGTCAAATCAGCCAGGTTTCTAAAAGAAAAGAAGTGTCTCTTGCAACAGCAAGCACATAAGTACTGCTATTTTATTACAATTTACTCAATTCAGGCGCCAGATGGTTTTAGACAGAAGCAACAACCAGAACCATTACCAATTCTGTGCATCTGTTTGCTTTACAGCGCAGTTTTGACCAGGTTTGTAACTAGATTTTAAATTAAATCTGAGGCCAGTGGTAACTTAATTTAGGATTTTTTGTAGTTTCTGAAAGAAACAAACTACATCACATTATGCATTATTCTGTTCACTATTCTGTTCTGTGAGAACCACAAGACTATCAGAGATCGTTCACACTAACACTTAAGGTTAACCATGTGACACTGAACAATCAGTTTCCCTTTCCTAATGCTTGTACAGGTTTTAAATCCACAAGGTGCTTTTGTTTCTTATCCTTCAGAAATTAATTTCTACTTTTTCCAATCTCAGCCATGGTTACCTTAGCTGGCCATACATATTTAAGAAATACTTAGATTGCTTCTTATGCAGTCATTCTGGATAACAGACCTAGAGCCAGTTATGCACAAAGCTGTGAGGCCTGGGAATATGCCCTACTGGATTCTCACTGTCTCACCCATTTACAGTGCTTGCAGTAGTGACTGCATGCAGCAAAAGAAAGAATGCTTAAGATCTGTGATAATTTACCTGCTAATCCAAATCAAGAGAAGGCAGGTATCCAGTTTATTCAGTGTATTAGAGCTACCTTATTCTTGAATTAGAGCTGTCATGCATTTGATTAATCTTTCTTAGGCAAAATTAAACTCACATCTCCAACGAGTTTGCTTAATTTTCCTGAATGTTCCTGTGTAGACTTGCCTTTAGTCCCCATTCCTTCCCAGGTTTGCTCCTGGAGCGAATAGCCATGTTTCCTTCACCCTCTTGAGCTGTAGCCCAGTGTACCATCAAGCTACATAGGAACTTGTTAAGTTGATGTGTCAGCTAAGCTGCGGTACCTGTTCAAGTGAAGGCTATTAGTGCACCAAAAGTGAATTAATTCAGTCACACTTAATCTGTTATGTTTGCATAAACATTATTTATCCTGTGCTCTAAAGTTTTATCTAGACTCAAGTGCTTTTCCTAAGAGTTCTCAGTCATGGTTTGCTTGAAGAAAATATAAAAAGAAAGTTTTCAGAAGATAGTTTAGCAGACTTGAAGAGGAATATGAAAACATAACCCTTCTCTCCTTCTTCCCCTGCAACATGAGAGCAAAGGAAAACTAACGCGGGGAAAAACAGATTTGCTATTTAATCGTGTATTCAACACTGCAGATGCAGCCTGGGATCAAGAATTGCAGTAATATTACAAGAATAGCGTAAATATTTCTACTAATACTAAGGACAATTATATTTTCTGATTCAGAGCATAATGATTCATTCAGTGTACTCAGGAGGCAAACTTCTCTCACGGCAGAAGTGCTAAGCAAGTCATAGAGGAAAAGGAAAGCTTCAACCTCATTCTGATGCACTTTCTCCTGTGAACAATGTGAAACTGGATAGATCAGCTGGCTGGTTGAATTATGGCCATCGCATTGCAAGTATAGGAGTCTGATTCTGATGCTGTTAGGCATCTCATTCTACAAATTTGCAATAATGTATGAATAAGACCATGAAAAAGATGAAAGATGTAAAAAACTAATTCCACAGTTAAAAATGACAAGTCAAAGATGGTATTTTTTGAGGCAGTAGAGACATAATGAAGAAGACAACTCTGAGTAGAAATAATGTACCTTCACTGTTGACAATTATTGAAGCAGTTCCAGTAACAGCATCTGCAGTCTGACCTACAAATGCTAAGAAAGGGAAAAGTTACAGCATGCATTAGTTCAATACATCACTTTCAACCAATAGCATGTGATTCAGTTTAATTGAATTAAATCTAAAACGAACTCATAACCTCCAGCAATTTAAAAATGCTAATTACTCTTTCATGTGCAACAATGCCAGAGAAGCTAACAAAAACAAAAAGTGTTAATTTACACCCACAAAACAGAAATGTGAGTCCAACATTCTTTAATTTGGCTACATCCCGGCTTTAAAGAAAGCATGTTATTTATACAGCTTTCTCAGGCACTCTCTACTCCTACATGGAAGTATTTATTTTATCCAGTAGAACAATAGTCAAGGCTGGAGAAACCAAAGATATTAAAATAACACAGCATTTAATTCCCCATACATTTGCATTTTCAAGAGAAACATTAACACGTAGTATGAAGGCAGCGTGAGGCTATATGTTTCCTCTTGGCATTATTATTCAGATATCTAGAAGTTAAGCTGGCAGCACCGTCTGTTATAAAGATTGTTCAATATTTACTACTGTAAGAGCAGGTTTTCAGACGTCAGATAATTTGTCAAATATTAACCAGTGAGCCGAAAGTTTCCACCATAAGGGATTGTGTTAGGTAAAACCCAACACCTAACATCTGGTGTGGATGCCCCATTCCTGGAGGTGTTTAAGGCCAGGTTGGATGGGGCTCTGGGCAGCCCAGTCTACTATTAAATAATGAGGTTGGTGGCCTTGCCTCCTCGGTGGCAGGGGGTTGGAGATTCATGATCCTTGAGGTCTCTTCCAACCCTGCTCATTTTGTGATTCTGAGATTCTGTGAACACTATAGTAAAACACCTATCAAAGAAGTTCATTTTCTTTCCCTAAAAAGTGTATGCAAGAAAAATACACTATTGTATTTGAGGTAAATTCTGGTGACCTTTTGTTTAAGAAGCTCCATTATTTTAACATTTTAGAACACGGACCTGAGGCTGCTCAAGGGCTGGATTCTTTCTCAAGCGTGCTCTTTCTGGAAAATTTAAATACCTGTTCAAATTTGAACAAGGCTGTAAAAAAACCCATAACATCATGCTTATGCAGATCTGCTAAAGTACTGGAATTACTTGCCTTGAGGGTTCCCCTATCTAGCTCAGTTACATGGGTCAGAGCAGAACTTTTCTTGCAATTGTAGTTTCTTTTACCATGAGCTAGGTTTGCACATTAGAATTAAAAAGCAAAGACCTTGTGTCTTCTGTGCTCCTTGTGCAGAAAGTATGCTGCATGAGGAAGCAGTTAACTGGTCAGTTCAAATGCAGAAGAGCTAGCATTGGAGGGAGAGAGCCACACATCAGTAAAGATCTAAATGGTCTGAGCAGTACTGGTAGCTGGTTGGTTGTGCAGACAGAAAGAGTGGGGAAGTTAGGAAACAGAGTGAAACTGAAAAGAAAAGGGGTAAGGTGGTATATTAAGAAGTAGAAGAGCATTAAAAAAAAAAAGTCATATGACAAGGATCTAAGATATGAAGTGGACAGAAGCAGAGTTACAGCAAGGGTCCAGTAGCCATTATCCTTACGTATATAATTACAGGGATGGGCTAGATGTGGATTAAACTGGGATGAAAAGCAAGTCATGGGACTGACATACGATAGTCCTGTGTGAAAACATCTGTGTACACTGAATCATCCTTGCCTCCAAATCTTGGAATGCAAGCTGGGATCCAAGACTCAATCATTTAAATCAGAAAAGATGTAAGGTTGGCTGTGGAATATACCTTTTGATTAAGTGCTATGCATTATAATAGGGTATTTTTACATGATCAAAGACTTTATTCATAAGGTAGGCTTGCTTTGGATTGATTTATAACTAACAGACATTGGTTTTATGCTGTCTTTGCCTGGTTACTTGTGTAAGTTGGAAGATAAGCAAAGAATAAACTTCTGTATATATTTGTGAAATATTTAGATGCTATACTGATAAGCATAATAAAGGATTCCACAAAATACTAATAATTCTCCCTATAAAGTGAGACTTGAATAAAGCAATAAATGAAACTTGATGCTGCATATTAAACAGAATAAACAGAATACTGAATTGCCACTTAGTGATTTTATCTGTCCACTCTGTCCACACTGAAAGAGACAAGGGGCTTTAAACAAACTGTGATCATGTAGTTATGCAGCACACAGTAATACATTTACACAAGAGAGAGAATTAAAGTTTCAAAGGTGCAAAGATAATAGTATATTGTGAATGCTTAACTCTCCCTTTTACTGAAAGTCTTTCACTGTTGCTTTTTGTGTACAGATGTATTAATAAACAGCGGCCCATTTTAAAGAGCTGAAATGAAATGCACTGAGTTGACAAATGCATTTCTATTTTTTTTCCTTCTCTCCCAACATGAAATAGAGAAAGGATAATCCAACTGGATTTTTCAGTTTCTCATCAGGCGTTATCGCTATCAATGCCAGCCTAAACATATGTATAACAGTAAGTTATCTTCAAGTGACTTTTACTGATGCAATCATCTGAGACTTAGAGGTAATAACATTACATTTTATTTTTAGTGGTACAGCTGACATCATAAGTCCACCCATAATCATTCATTCCTCCCATTTGTGTCAAAACAATTATTTGGCGTTCTGAATGGTAAGACATACCCAATAAGGCAATTAAATTTGAAAAAAAAACACACACACATTTGCTATTAATTTTTAAAGCTTAGAAATAATTCAAAAGGCTTCTTTAAAGTAAAGGTTTACCTGTAGAAACATCGTTCTTCTTCAAATTTGCAACATAATCATTGCCAAAGGAATCTTTCCCAACCTGTACAAAACAAAAAAAGATTGGTTATCACATAGGCAGCAGAATGCTCTAATGCAATTTGAATAGAATATTTTCTATTTTGCAGCACTTCGTCTTATTTTTGGAATAGCATCCTGCAGATCTGTCCTTCTCTATTACACCCCTCCTCTACCCATGTCTCTGTTTTCAAGTTTCATTCTCATACAACCACTGTGCTCCCTTGAAAATGATACTGTCTGGAAGTGTTCTGAATCTTGTAGTCCTGGACCATTAGTTGGTTTTTAATTGACAACATTAGTAGCAACTTCAGTGTTCTTCTTAAGTACAGTTCATATTTGAATTTTCTACCTAGAGTTTTCTTGGTAGAAAAATATCAGTGATTATGATCTAGAAAGTGACTATAAACATGGCGTTTCTGATTTCTATAATTTCTCAGTACTGGATGAATTGTTTATGAATTCAACATGTTTGTTTTATCCAGCACCACCAGACACAGATGAGATGAGTTAGAGAATCAAGCTATACTCTGATGTTTTTCTAAAAGCAAGTTAAAAACCTTGTAATTTCAGTTGCACTAATCCTTTGAGATGAACAGATTTCTGCTTTCTGTTTAGTCAGAGTAATAAACATTTGTTTTGGTTACATTACACAAGCTGAAAAAAAGAAGATGAGGTATATGGAGGAAAAAATAGTCTAACTTAATGTCAAAAATAGTGTTTAGAATATAAAGCCAACATGGTTTTTAGTTCACCAATTTTAGCCTGTATGTCTTCAGCACTCACAGTTCATGCTCCTACTTCCAAGAGCAAGTTGTATATCTGAGCAGTATCAATGACTGACCAGTGATATCAGAAGTATTGTTTCCAGAGAAAGAACGTCATATTTCAGATAAGAAACCAAATGAATATCCTGGTCATCGTCCATAGATGAAGAGTCCCTGACTAATGACCCATTTCCCATAGAACAGCACTAATAGCTAAAGCTGTCTCTGAGTTACTACAAAGTACAAAGCAGCTGCCTCTGATGCCTGCATAGAAATTTGTCTAAATAGATAAAAATATGAATTCTGTCTATTAATAAGCTCTGAGAAGGCTTGAGTACTAACAGTGCTCAAATCCTACAAAAATCAAATCCTGCAATTTGGAATTCTAAAATTTGTAGAGTCACGGATGAGTGATTCTTCCCCTCACTTATTCTCTTGCATAACCATGTTTTGAAACATACTTTCATTTCTGACACCTTCTATAAGGGATTTTTATAAAGCATGATTAGAGTAGGTCCCAGTCTTTTACCAAAAGAGGACAGCAATGTAGATCAAAACAGTGTAATCAGATGAAATGCTTCTCTAGGAAAAGGGAAAAAAACAGTAACAATGAAAAGAACAAAACCAACATTTTCTTTAGTCACCGTGTTATATTCATTGTTTGCATATTAGAATATTTCTGACTAGAATAATTCTGCATATTAGAATATCTCTGACTACTCCCAGTTTGCCAGACAGGCATGCATCTTCTGACTGCTTTTGCTGGATGACTGTGGCCACCTGCAATTCAAGCATAAGTTGTGCTCACCTTTGTAGCCTAATGGCTGTACTATGGAAATGCATTCCACCTGATGGCGTCATCTTTTCCCTCCCTATCTGCCACAGAGCTTCTACAACAAATCTCAGGATTTGCTCAGTTATTTCAGCAATGAAGTATTTCATAACTATTTCCCGAAAGCTCAACTGAAACCAACTTCCTTCAGCTCTGGGACCTACATAACTGAAAGGCAGGCACCCCTTATTGTTCAACTATCACAACAACTGAGATCAGCCATGGCACTTTTGCTCACAGCAACAGATCTCAGAACTGGAGGGAAGCCCTTGGAGAAGTTCTTTTAACGTCCTTTTCCTCTGGAAACTTTTTTCCATGTTAGTTCATCAGCATCCAACCCTGTTAATCCCAATACGTTTGAAGGGCTTATCTTTCCATTCAGACTTTACCTCCGAGGAAGATAGAGTACTGGGAATCAGACTCATTTTAGATTAAAGGCATTCTTACTGACCATGTCAAATTATGTAACATTGTTTTCAACATTTTTTGTTTTTGCTCTAACGCTGCCAGACAGACTACTGGATAAACAGAAAACTAAATGTCTTACTCTGTTGACCACAGAACGTTATATGTGCTGAAGCAGCATTTCTTCTTTCTTGAGTTCTTAGCAATAGCAGTTAGACATGCATTATGGTCTCATGGTTTGCACATTAGCATGAGTGGAATTACATCAGTATTTTTCAACCTGGGTTCTCCTTGCTTACTATGTTTCCCATATGCAGCTAGGAGAGCTGGCTGGCATCATAATAGCTGAAAGAATCAAACTCATCTGTACCTGAAAATTAATTGCAACAAAAACGTATACTTCTCGACCATTTTTTCAATCTATTCTACATAAACATTTTTGGAGAGTGCTTACTCTCTCTGTTGCTTTGAGAATGGTTTTAAAGAAAAGTATGGTTTTAACAGAAAACACAAAAACAATTGGAGATAACCATCATAATCTGGTCTGTGTCTTTCATATATCTAAGTCCTTACAATTAAGTGAGCATTCAAGCACTTTCTCCTCAGTTGGGCTTACAGATCACCTAAAGAGATCACTACATAATGTGGTAGTCCAGCACTTTCTGAGTAAGAATGAAATGCAGCTGAGGATTAAGTAGAATTTAGTATATGCGTTATCAGGCTATGATACAAATGTCCAGTGACAACCACCCCAAATTGTTTGTCAGAAGTAAAACAGGACTTTTTTCAGCACATACAATGTCTTTCAGATAAACCTTCTTCCATGTTCTTAATCTAGGCTGCTTTGCAGATTTTTTGGTAATGACTGCCATGATGGTGACTTTGGACCCTCTCAAGACCGCTGTGCATTTTCCAGTACTGCAAAGGTGTTCTTATATGAACACAAGCAATTCACTTATTCTCTTAGATCCTCTAGTTCCCTGATGGCAATCTTGTATGCTTCCCTGAACCACTGTCTTTCTTGTCTTTTCGAAGCTGCATCTGTTCCATCAATATGTTGTTTTACTGTACCAAGCAAACTGAAGAAGGCAGTTTAAAGATCAATGCTATGATAGATATTGATAACCCAGAGTAACAGCACTCAATTCCACTGATTCTTAGGCAGGAGGTGGAATAATGTTTGCATTTCCACTAGTCGAACTTGGTATTTGGATTTAAAATTAAAATCAACAGCATTCTGTGCTACATATACGAAAGAAAGAAAGAAAGAAAGAAAGAAAGAAAGAAAGAAAGAAAGAAAGAAAGAAAGAAAGAAAGAAAGAAAGAAAGAAAGAAAGAAAGAAAGAAAGAAAGAAAGAAAGAAAGAGAGAGAAAGAAAGAGAGAAAGAAAGAGAGAAAGAAAGAGAGAAAGAAAGAGAGAAAGAAAGAGAGAAAGAAAGAAAGAAAGAAAGAAAGAAAGAAAGAAAGAAAGAAAGAAAGAAAGAAAGAAAGAAAGAAAGAAAGAAAGAAAGAAAGAAAGAAAGAAAGAAAGAAAGAAAGAAAGAAAGAAAGAAAGAAAGAAAGAAAGAAAGAAAGAAAGAAAGAAAGAAAGAAAGAAAGAAAGAAAGAAAGAAAGAAAGAAGAAAGAAAGAAAGAAAGAAAGAAAGAAAGGTTTTACGGAAATGGCATAAATGTGATTTTGGAAAGTAACTAGAAATCACTAAATTTTATTAGGAATGCAAATGGTTCCAGGAACATGTATTCACTGAACATAGCTTAGACCATTAAAAAATAAAACAAAATTCACACTTTCAGTGAAAAAAAACCTCTTTAACATTTAGCAGGAAATGTTAGCAGAGAATCATTGCCAATTCATCTTGTGCTAGAATCTGATCCCTGCTGAATGCAAAGATGATCAAATACTTTAAATATTAAAAAAGTACAAACATTGTCAGTATAAATTTAAAAACAACAGTAACAACAACAAAAAACAACAAAACAAACCCAATCAACAAATCAAACGAAAAACAGTACTATAGAACAACTAGAGATAATGACCCACAGAAGTGCTTGAAGGTATAATTCAGATTTATAGTTATCAATCTTTCACCTAAATATAAGGTTGATAAGTAGTGAGAAAGGTTTCCCTGAGATGTCTTTGGTACTCCACAAAAAACCCCTAGAAGCTGATGATCCAACAAACTCAGCATCCTCTCCCCACTATGGCAATAACAAAGTGCATCCAGGCCATCTGAAGCTTCATCTGCAGATAGTATGGGTTAGACAATAAGGCTACAAAGAGACAAAATTCAATATTACTCTTAATAACGATCACTCAAAACCAATAACATTTAATGGCAAAAATAAAAGAAAAGCACTGCAAAAATATAGTGTCTGCCAGGCAGAATCAGTCCAATGGTCTATTTATATTCCTTCCTGAATTTGTTACTATTTTACCAGTGTTTGTTTTTCATAATCAACTACAAAGTAGCTGGTTGACTGCAGTATCTAGCACCTGAATGTCATCATTGAAGCCCTGACAGTTCTAACAACAGGGAGCATAAGGACCAAGTTTACTTGAATTTTGAACATCTCTAATTTTCCTTAATTCTTCCTTTTGTGGTACATCAATTTAAATTTTGCAATCTTTATTTATGTGCAATTTCTGCCAGATCTCTAGCCAACTACTCTTTGGTTCTGGCAGCGTTTTTAGAACAGCCTCCTGATCATATTTCATACTTTAATTTATAGCTGAAATAAGGAGAAGAAGAGAGAATTAGAGAGGGATTTAAAAAAAAAAAATAATAGAAAATAGCAACAACAACAAAAAAGCTCTTTTCTGTTAGACAACCAAAGGTTTTCTGGAATTTGCATGAACATTTTGTTCAGTTGCAGTCCAAGAGCAAGTCAGCGCTTACCTTGCAGATCAGAGAGGTCTTGGCCCCAAGTCGAGCAGACTGGACACACTGATTGGCTCCTTTCCCACCAAAACCAATGAAAAACTTCTGTCCCAGGACAGTTTCTCCAGCTCTTGGCAATCTCGTGGTAAAGCTATTCCAATTTAAAGCAATATTTACATACATTAATGACTGAAAATAGCAACCATCTTCAAAATAAGAGTTACATTCTTACAATTTTAAATGGTCCAACAGCCACTCAATATGAACATCAAAGACTAGAAAGTCCTTTTAGGGTCTCTATTCCACAAACCACCAGTTTATGTTTATTCCTTATATGCCACTCAGTCAAGCTGCTCATTTATTACTTTTACTTTACTTAGTTTATTACTTAAACTCAAACTTAATTTATTACTTAGGATTGCATTTCTGTTGTTTCTGTTTCATGTTTCGACCAGAAAAAGAAGCAGTTGATGCCTGACTGGGATTCCCCAGTCTTAATTCAATACAGATACATAATAAATCTATAGGTCTTACTGTTCATGTTGTTTTACTGCAACATTCAGCTCACCTTTACACACTGTTCATTTAACTTCATTACATCTAATTATATACTCTTGAACCACCCTAAGTAATTTTTCACTTTGTTGATGTTCACACCCCTGAAAATTGTAGATCATTATCAAAGCTTTCCTCCCTTCTGCTGTCACTCAGCAGTGACTACTCTCCCTTTTAAATCAAACCCTACAACTCCTTAGCATTTTGTTGCTTTTGAACTGACTCCAATTACACTGACATCTTTCTGAGGATGGGTGCCCAGACAGAGGAGCACTAATACAGGTGGAGACCCATGGGGGATGTATTCAAGACAGTTCAGTTTCGTTTCCATTTTGAAAAACAACAAAGTAGAATCGCAATGTTGTTAATGCCATCAGACATTTTGCTATCTCCAGAAAAAGTTGAAAGAAAGAAAACACTCCCCCAAGACAACGGGGGAGAAGTTCTCTGAATGCAAAGCTACACTTGCCACTTACTTTTCCCACTTCTATTAGAAATACAGAACTCAGAGCTGTGTTTACGACACTCAGATTACCCAAATTTCTGCCTACTCAAGCCATGCATCCCAGGGATACATGTTAAAAATGTAATTCCTACTATCTCCTAAGCTACAAACAAGCTCACAACAAGTGTAGAACAAAGGCCTTCTGCAAGGTAATTCAACCTGTTCAGCCCACATGCAGGTAGCCTGAACCAGCTGCCAAAAGTCTGAAGGGAAGAAAGAGTCCATGGGCAAAGGGGAGTTTGCAGGAATGCAGAGGAATCTGTCCTAATAAGCAAGATTCACTTCACCTCTGTTTGTCATTTTCTAACATTCTGCCAGTAAATCTTAGAACAGCTTTAAAATTGCCAGCTCTCCAATTCAGAAAAAGGTGACATACTTCTACGCTAGTAAGTCACTACTGATTGCTGCCTGAAAAGGACATGAGGGATGCGTTCATGTTACTCTCAACTTTATACAGCAAATTTTAGGGCAACTTAGTGTTTACAAAACCTTAGTGAAGTTAATGCCAGAACACAGCCATACCAAATGAAAGTTTTCAAGAAAAAGCAAGCACTTTCTTCTTATTAACTTTCAGTTTTCAACATCCATAGGTCCAATGTTAAGAATCACAATGAAAATGAAATCTAAACTAGTGAAGCTACAGAAGTCTTTAACTCCCACAAGATTTCTGCTCTGAGGCAGCTGTTATGGGTCTGTCCCTCAGCAGTAGTTACAGTTTCTGAAGATATGCAGTTGGGATGCAAACACTAATTAGGGATGTTTGCTAACACAGCACCCCAAGTTTCTGTGTGAGGGTAAGGTACCCATTCAGCAGGTTTTCTTGTATGGAGGACCAGAAAGAAACCCCAGAAAGACTCACAAGTACAGCTACTGGCACTTACTTTGTTTCCAGGCACGTAGAACCGGGTAGCATTCTGTTCAGAAATGTTTAAGGCATTTTAACTAAAAATGTAATGGTGATTTATAATTATAAGTACCTTATATATATGGAAGGGGTTGGTAAATTAAAGCAGTTTCCCACAGCAGCCTCTGGCAGGCTGTTTACAACAAAGAGTAACTAACATTTGAGGGAACAAAGTGTAATGATAGTAGTAATGAGCAAGGTATATTAATAGCAACATCTATAATTTATTGCTATTTTCTCTATTTTATGTGTCACTGGAAGCCAAAATAGTGATGTGGACCGGAGAATGAAGGTCACAAAACTCAGACAAGGAAGCTCCTGTTTGGTCACGGTCGGGCTTCTGCATGCATACTTCCAGAATTATGTGTCACTCAGCAAAGAATAGATGTTATGCTCAGCCTTGGTAAGCAATAGTAATAGCAGCTCTTGTACAGCTCATTTCTTTGACAGATCTCACTGTACTTTAAAAAGCAGAACAACATTGTTATTCCTGTTTTGTGGGTGTGAAACTTAGGCAAGTCATTTTGCCTTTTTGTTCCTTGGGTCAGTCAAGAAGCCACTAACAAAACCAAAAGCAGAGATGAACTCAATCCTCTAGCACACACAGTCTCCTGATTTCAATTCTGCACTGAGAAACCGGTATCAGGTCTCAGTTCATGTTCCTTCCTTAGGGTGCTTTAGGAGATTTATAGCTCGTTCTAAATAGAATTTGTTTCTTCAAAATCCTCATGTATTTTTAGAGAAAGATGAACAATTGTGACATCCCAGCAGGCATCTGCTAACGCTGCTGCTTTGAGATCACATGTATTTGTGAGAAGCACGTTCACCCATACATATTCTAGTCAACAGTGGCTAGACCACGACTTGATTCTTCTTGCAGTTATGTTGGCATCAGCATGCAACTCCAATGAAAGCAGCATAATTACACTGATGAAAAAACAGGCTCGGTGAGGTGAGGATCTGTGCATCAGTGTTTCAAGTAGGACAGCAAAACAACTGCCTGTGGGAATCAAACAGCTTGTTGAAGACGGGAAGATGACCTTTTTTATTGCTTTGATGAAAAGGCACAAGGCAAAGGGCAAAGGATCAAGTTGGAACAGTGATTTGTAATTAGCCAATTTTAAAAATAGGCTAACAGCCTAGGTAAGAACATGCAGCGAGTTCCTGTAGCTCACTGTAAACAAAAAAAGCCACCCTCATTGCATTTCAGGCACAATCACCAGTCCTTTCAGAACAATTCTACACTCCAGAAGCCTATTTTTATCTTCTGTATTAAAACAAATTCAAAGTACTGATCTATATACATAGCCTGAAAGTTTCACTTTCACTGACATAGGTATTCAACACTTTTCTCTTATCATTTAATTCTGCAACTGCACTAACTTTCAGTTCAGATCAGACTACTTTAATAAGCATTTCAGGCTTCTGTTATGAGCAGGCAGTGATGACTAATTTGTATAAGGAACCCTATAAATTCTTGGCTTATTGATGGTGCCACAAAGAATACTCAGAATGGCCTAAAAATGATGAAACAGTCAGTGTTACTCCAAAACTAGGCTACATAAGTTAATTAGAAAAATTGTCACACTGGTTTTCAGAATTGTTACATAAAGTGTTTTGTAAAGCTATTTACAACTTTGGCATAATTTGAAAACACTGACATGAAAAAAGTAGTTTAAGTTGCTAACTAACAGACTGCTCTTAGCTTATGTGTCAAATTCTCCACAGCTTTGAGAGGATAAATGGTGTAAAGGATATTGATCTCATGTCTTATGAGCAACCAGAAACTCAACGCGAAATCCCCCAAGACCTATTAGATGGGGAAAAAAAAAACTATAGAATATATTTTGCAAATCGTGCACAGTAATACAGATCATGGAGGAACTTTCAGACTAAAACATCCTGAAATGCTTTGGGCTACAAATAAAGGGATATAATCACTCAAAATGTCAACAGTTTTAACAAAACAATATTTAAACGTAAGAAACACACAGCAGCATTACCCACAGTTTTTTGTGGGAAATGAAGATTCTTACATCCAGCTATGCTTCAGAGGTTTGGCGTAAACAGAAGTACACAAATAACAATTTCACCACTGCATTAACTTTGATCCTTTATCTAGTGTGTGCCACAAGTTCTGTTAAAGGCTAGAGCTGGTTAGCACTTGTGTTTTTAGACAGATATCCCTTAGGACTGGTGGCACTGGGAAAAGAACAGAACCTTCCACTACATCAGTGATGCACTGAACCAGAGGAGAAATGCAACTAACTGAGTTATGAATGCCACTTTCCACAGTAGTCTGGTTTTCTTGAACAGTTCCCATCTAGCAGCAACTAGATCACAATCGGAAATATCGTGTCTGAAGGAAGGAGGAAGGGAAAGGGAACAATGCACATAAGCAGTATTTGCATAAACTAATCTTGAAATTAATCATGGTTTGCTTCCGATTCCTGATGCCTAACCGGTGTCTGTTTGGTGCTTTCAACATGTAAAAATATTACAAAGGTACACTATTACTGTCAGCTTCAGCTGATACAGAAGCATTTTCCCAAAGTTCACTGTGCATTCATTGTGCCAGGCTGGATGTGGCTCTGGGTAGCCTGGCCTACTGGTTGGCGACCCTGCACATAGCAGAGGGGTTGAAACTAGATGATCATCGCAGTCCTTTCCAAAAGAGGCCATTCTATGATTCTCTGATTCTCTGATTACCCTTATTGCTTACAGAGTTCACTAACGCCAAATGTTTTGTGTTTTTTCCATAGGTCGTTTTAATTAGCATCAGCAAACTGACCCATGCCGGTGTCCAGCAGGCAGGGTGGGCCAGATCATGTTGCCAGGACTGAGGAGGGGGTGAGTGAGGGAGCAGCAGTACTGCCTTCCCTGTGGCCATAGATGCATGCTGCCCTGTGCCACTGATACTGCCCTGTCTGCTGAAAACGTGGGATGCTTCACAACCAGGGCTTTGGTCATAGTACAACATACTTGGTTCTGTACGAACGTTGAAGAAAATCATAAAGTCTCAGATTATTTCTGGGAAACAACGTGGTTTTAGCATGCATGAGAAAAAGAAAAAAAAAAACAACAAGATGTATGTCAATGTTTTTCTTTTGAAGAAAAAGAAAAGAAAAACAATATTCTCATCAGGCAGTTCAGAGGGGAAGAGAATTTGTATGTTAGATGAGATATCACGTTATCTAAGAGGACTGTCATTTACATAGTATCTAAAGAATATTTAAACACCTTTTTTTTCTCCTGAAGAACAGTGAAGATAATCAAGGGTATGAAAAAAGTAGCAGAAACGATGCATTTAAAGGTATTTTAATGAACAGGAATATAATGTAAAGGCTTAGAATTTAGCTTTGATTCTGCTCTCTTTGAATCCCTGAATAAAACTGGCTCTTTTTCCCCTCCTGGGAATTCCCTGAAATGGGGAAAATCCCTGGGAGATTAGAGTAGGTGTAGCTAGCCACTGTCTAGTACATACAATTTACTGGGCTTTCATGCTCCTCAGAGCCGAACAAATACAAAGGAAAGAACAGCTCTTGCCTCTAACTAGGAATATTAGTACATCATTGTGGTGAAAAAGTCTCAGACCTCTTTTGGATCTGGCGTAATATTTTGGTTTAGCCTCAGTCTCTTTTGTCTCACTTAATTTTTAAAGATTTGAACATGTACTATGGGAAAGTATCCATAATATGGAGACAAAAAGACCACAATTCTTTTCAAAATCTGATGTTCTTGACTCCTTCTTGCTTTCATCCCTTTTAATAATCCACTAAAGCATCTTATTGGAAGGTAGAAAACTTTCAGAATTATGAAGAGATTACCTCAGGAATGCAGTTAACTACAGCTTGGTTTAAATATTGGGCTATTCAGTTCTAGGTTTTAGTCTCACTTCAGACCTCTAAACTGAAAAAAATTAGAGATAATTGGAAATAATAGAAAATACTCCATGTATTCTTCCAACTATTTCCCTGAATATGACAAGTCTTTCTTTAAAAAAGTTCACTTTTCATACTACTCATAAAATTGGCTACCATTTCTTGGATGGTCTGGGTTCTCTCACTAGGACACGTAACAGTGTAATAAGAGTATCCAAACTGGTACCTGGCAAAATAATTGATGGCTAAAGAGCAATCCTTTCACAGGCCAGTGCTGAAGTACAGTGGCAGTGTGAGATATAAAAACTTTACCCATCTTACATTCTGAAGATCTTGCTAAAACTTGCTTGATTTTACATAATTTACAATCTGTCACCATGACACAAATGATGAGTTAGTGCAGAGCAGCAGGAATCTTTCCATCCAGTTTTGTGATCAAAGAAACACATGCATTTTATTAAATACATACATATATGTTTTCTAAAGGCAGATTATTTCGTAGATCTCATTACTGAATGGGTCAATAGTTGAACTGACACAATGGTGAACATCTCTGGCAAGTGAAAAATTTAAATGAATGGCTGAGGAGGGCCACAAAAGTGGCACCTTCTTATAAGAGCTTTACCTCTTCCAAAATAATATTGTGCAATCACACTCAGCTTAAAAAGACCAAAACACACAACATATAGAAGGAGAATGGATGTACATAGCCCTCCAACGAGGATTTTAATGAATGTTTCTTCTGACTCTCTGTACAGGGGTAAATTTTGCCCTACTAGATCTTAAAAGATGGAACAAAGAAGGCACTCAGATGAATATCCTGCAGCTGTTAGAGTAGCACGCTGTAGCGCACGTCACTGAAATGACATCATCAAGAGATCAGAGTTCCTAAATTATACTGGAGAGTTGAAAGTTTCAGAACAAAGGAAAAAGCTTTTCCTGGAACAGTAAGCCTTTCCTCACATCTCCAGCAGTTAACTTTCAGGGAAAAGGTGGGCACAACACCGGCGATGTAATTCCGAACTGGATGCTCAAAAGAGATTAAAAAATGCATGAATCTAACCTGAGATATTTAAGCCTCAGCAAACGTTCCATCACTTTTACAAAACATCTGTTTTGTATTTTAAAAAGATTGTGGGAATTTTCAAAATTACTACTCTCTAACTATTATTTCCCTCCCACGTTGTTCTTCATTGATACCTCTCTATTACATTATTTTTGGAACTGCAGTTACATAATTATTTTCAAGGCAATATGATGATGATGTTAGAATAGACTGTTTCCAAAACGTGCTGTTCTTACCTAGCACTGCAGAAGCCTTCCTGCAGTTCCTATGCTGAACAGAACACTGTAACTTCATAAAATACCAGGCTTAAAGCAGAAACCAAACAGAAAAAAATCCCACAAAACAAAATAACCTTTGCAACCCAAGCAAAGAGTGATCTTTACATGCCTCTGAATGATAAAGAAGACATATGTGGCCTAGATAGGTCACAGGGTCCTAGTTCTTGTCAGCATAATTTCTTATACAATGGTAAATCAACAAAGTAATCCATGCTTCTGTTTCACTCTCATGCAGAAAAAAATATCAGCTGCTGATCTCCCTAAAGTCCTCTCCTCTGTTTATTCTCCTTCCTGCTGTGCCACCCTCCACATTATTTATGGCATTTTGTACACAAGCGCATTTGCTTCATGAACTACAATACTAAAAGCAGCATCATAGATGTGTTTTCACTACATAGTTATCAAGATGAAGTAGTACAGTCTAAATACTATTTGTGCTCCCCAGTAAAAAGTTGCTCTAAAAGCTTGTGGCCAAGACAATAATTTTGATAAAGTTTTTCAATAAATTTTTAAATACAGTGTTTCCTTCAGAATCCACGTGGGTCACAACTGAAAAATGTAAGCAAAAATTTAGTTTACATACACTTAGGCAATTTATCAATAAATGTAGCCAACATATTTAAATACACCAAAATCCTTCAGTAGCTAAGTTTCTGCTTTGAAGCTAGCTTACCCTTGATTCACCAATAAACAAAGCTATACTTTAAATTCCTTCTCATCATAAAGGTGTCTACTAGAGTCTTCTATTACAGCAACATTAAAGCTTGTGTGGCAAAGACAAGAATTGGCAGTGTACAGAGGGTGCTTGCCTTTGTCATGGTTAACTCAGTCACGGCAGGTAGGAATCTCCTCTGCATTTACCTTTTTCACAATTTAAGTTTTCTGCGGAAAAGTAGATCTCTAAATATCAGAAAGATGTGAATATCAGAAAGTGAGGCACTGAAATAGATTGCCCGGAAAGAGGTGGTGGATGTTCCATCCTTGGAGACATTCAAGGTCAGACAGCACAGGGCTCTGAGCGCCCTGAAGTAGCTGTAGGTGTCCTTGATCACTGCAGGGAGTTGGACTAGATGACCCTTAAAGGTCCCTTCCAACTCAAACTATTCTATGATTCCATGTAAATCTGCATAACCCTGGCTTGCAATACCTGCCAACAGACAACTCTCAGGTCTCCAGTAATGCCCACGATTTAACGAGCAACAAGGAATGAAAACTGACGGATTATCTGCTCATTTTCACTGCCTCTATATGGTGCACTGCTGAGCCCTAGCAAAACCACCAACTGCTTTTCCCACCAGGTCATTCTTTACTTAGTTCTATCTGGCCAAAAACCCAACAGATTGAATAATAGTAGGATGTTCCCAATAAATAATACTAACGGGATCAGGGAATTAGAAGGAAGGAGGTATGTTCATTCTCATTACAGATGAGAACATGAGAAATGCTTGTTTTTCCAAATAAGTAATGAATTTGATTTGCCTTTCATATTCCTTCCCATCTTTTATTTTCAGCAATGACCAACGCACTTTCTTTTTGCTGTGTATACTATCAAGTTTTACACATTTTAAATAAACAGGGAACTGAGAAGATAGATAGGAAGTATGGGAAATGATGGAGGCAGTAAATCAGCAAAAGGGAATTCTGATTCTTTGGAAGCAAAAGTTATTTATGGAAAGATGAGGGGCAGAAAAAAGAGCAGTACAGCAAACAAGTGCATTGCAGAGAGATAGCAACAAGAGGTGGAGATAAGCAAGGGAAAATCATAATGGTTCAGGGATGACATGCTACTGATCTAGTAGAGGGAAATAAAAGGAGAGAAAACGGAGTGAAGTCAGAAATGGAAAGAAGAAATAATAAAACCCATAAAGGAGTGCAGAACTGATATTTTTGGGGACATTACCACCTTCTTATTTTATAATTACGTGTCGGAAGGATCATCATGTTCTGCACCTACTTAGGCACCACACTGGTAAAAAACCTTTATGTATTTTCTTCAGGCTCAGTGTATACGTTGCTAGGCTTGGAGGGAACCAGGAATGTCAGCATCAAATAATTTACTGGAGCTTGATATAAGAGCTAACAACTGGAGCCTTATAAAACAAGCATTGAAACCATACTAGTGAACTCCTATGGAAAGAACAGCTCAGACAGCTCCTCTAGGCAACATCATATATATGCCTGCCTAGAGTGTTTTTACACAAATTTGTTACCATCAACCGTACGATCTTTATTGCAGCTTTTGATTTGTGCCAGCAGCTCTTTACTGTCAGGAGTACTAAAATTTACCCAAAGATATTTATGTCTAGAAATACATCTAGGAAAACAGTTATTTCCATTAATAGTACAGCCAGAAAGTAATTCATTAACAAGACAGAACATAACTATTCATCATATCACTCTGAGGCTCATTGGGGGGCAGAGGGATGGGGGGAAAAGAAAATACAAGAGTATCAGTGTTGAGTGTTAAAATATAATGCTTATCAGTTGTATGTATTGTGACAAATATTTTCTAAGGAATTTCTTTAGAAAATTTCCCTTTTGATTCAGTATTCTTGTATGGCAAAGATCTCCAAGCTAGAAGGACAAGATAGGTTATTTTAAATTGTCAAAAATAATTTCCAGTAAGAACAGGGAAAGTAACAACAACAACAACAACAAAACCTGTGGAATTTATATGGTAAAAGTATTCAGTGGGGCAAGAAATTTTAGATACATTAATAATCCAATGTAATATTCTATCTCCATCACTAGCATAGAGCAGGAGCCATAGGAATACCCTGAAGTACTGATGACAGCAATGCCCAGTGGATCACTGGTTTGGATTCTAATTATTTGCAACTGTACAGTACCCAGGAATTCTACAAAAAGCAAAAGATGACAGTTGTGAAATCTTTGAAGGGGGAATGTTATAATGTGAAGCAATGGCCATATGCTATTGTGAATTGCTGAGGCAAAATTACATCTTTCTGTAGCAGAAATTAACACAAATGCTTCACTCCTGATGTTCTTATTGGAAAAATGGTAACTAAGCTTTTATTCCAACAGCCTCCTTCCCTGATCATAATGTTATTAGTTTTTGACTTTTCACTTTCCTCAGAGATATCACTCTGGGTTTTCCAGGGGCAGATGAAGACACTCAGGTGGCTGCTCTAACATCAGCTGGCTGTATGCTCACTAAAAGCTGAGGCATATCAGTCTCAAAAAGACTGCACACAAGAGTTGTGTCTTTTTTTATTCCATTCCAGCCTGGCATTGCCTGGTTCTGTCTCCATGAACTTCAGTGAGAGAAGAAGCTCTTTTGTATTACAGCAACTAAGGTGGGAATAATTTCAGGAAGAACTTTTTCAAATACTAGACACTCAGTGGAAATGGACACACGCAAGTCTTTTATGTAATTGGGCTCAGCATTTTGAGATTTTCTTCTAACGCTCTGTCCCAGACTACTTAAGTAGAGATTTTAAGAGAGTTCAGTTCTCTTATGTGGGAAAGCAGGCGGGATGAAAAGTGCACAGGAGTCACATATTTCTGTAATTAAAATACATAACCATAACATGGCCACAAATTTTGGCTCATGTTGCAATATCTAGGATGATGACCTCCGTTCTCTGTCAACCTTTTTTCTCTCTCTCTATTCTTGCTTAGAAAATTCTACCTTCTTGACTTAAAAATTCCGAAGTATTTAAGTGATGAAACGAGTAAAGCTATTAACCTACCACGTGCATCTTCTAGCTTAAGCAGCTGTTATAACAGTGGACACTACACTGTAAATGAATGAACTTTCCTTCGCCATCAGTGTTGAAACTGGCCTCGGCTGTCACCAGACAATGAGAAACCACATACATACTCGGGAAGGTTCAACAAAGAGATTCAGCTACCGATAGCTGGCAAAGAAGGCACCCATTAAAAAGATGAGAAGACTGATAGGCACACTGCTTTACTTTTGTGGGTAGTGTCTAATAGTTTACTGACCTCGAAAGGGAAAAAATGCCAGTCTCGTGAGACTGTAAACTTGTGGTGCTGTGAATCAAAGCAGGGAGTAGTGCTGAACAACGCAGAACAAGGAGCACCGTGGTGCTTCAGATGAGTGCTCTTTGCACGGCAAGAACACAAGATGGAGTAGCTGACTTTCTTCTCCCACTTGGAAAATACACCCCAAAAACTTATCACCTGCTAGGATCAAAATGTTTCTGGATTCATTTACTCCATTACCCAAGTGAACTCTCTAGAGAATTAAGCAATAGTTTCCTTGCCTCATATGGACTAAACCTAAAAGCTTGGTAAACACTAGTTTTATCTCACAAACCATAATTTTTAATTGCTAACACACATAGGAAGGGCATAATCCTCCACTGATGATATCATAGTCTACTGCCATGGAAATGACTGCAGTACCATAAACACAGGTTTAAGATGACCTCATTTTAGTAGGAAAGAGGGAAATTTCAGTGGAATGCGAATGACATTGGGAGTAAGCACACAAAGATACTTTATAGTAAAAACCCTCTCTTACTTGTCATTTGAAATATGGAAGATGAAGGCAACAGCTAAAAGAGTGGCTGAACAGTGCAGGAGTTCTGCTATCCAAGCTGTATTACTCCCTCTGAATTGCTGAATACAGAGAGCCCTCTGAACTCACGTCAGGGTTCCTCTTCATAAACTCACTGCTCCAGACAGGAGTGAAATCCCTGCCCTGACAGGCTCACAGTTTAACCACATGAGCATGAACAAAGTAGGGCTATGAGAATACAGGGCAGGATCACAGAACAACATTGTAGCTGGAACGCTTCCTAGAATGAGTAAGTGCTTCAGAAGTGGGAGGAAGAGAACCATACAGTCTCTTGAAGCACACAAAATAACATGAAGTCAGAGGCAAATTCAGCAGTACAATCTCAATGTGGCAAGTGCTAAGCATCTTGGCATCGGCTCAGGAAAATTCATATATTTAACCTTCAGCTCTGAAGTAATCTGAGAGGCGTCAAACAACTTAAAGATTGGAAGTTGAAATTTGTGTGTAAGCTTTGTGTTGCTGAGAGCTAGGAATGCTGAGAGCAGTGTAGGACCCTAAGATGAAATGAGAAAAGAAGTTTGGGCTGAGAACAGGGAGTGGAGAAATGCAACAGGCGATAATGATCTCACTTAAGTAGAACCTTTCATCTTAAAGGATCTCAAAGCAATTTACAAACTTAAACAGACCAGACACTGCAGCTGGTAGGAACAGAAGCAGACATCTGGGAACTCATTCATGGGAAGGAGGAGGTAATAGAGGACTTACTGGGTGCTGTATCTTCCAAAGTGCTGTTGCTGGGAGAAGACAGCAAGACTAGAACAGAGATTTTTCCTAAGCCTCGCCAAGCAGCCATGTGAGAAAACTGCAGAAAACAAGCAGGCAGCTCTGCCTGAGCTGGCAGAAAGAGAAGCAGAAAAACAGGGGCTCTCTGGACAGCTGGGGAGCTGTAGCTGTTAGCATTGTAGTTCCCCTGCCTTTTTTCTCAGCCTCAGCTCTACAGCTTCTTCACACTTTCTGCTATAAAACCTCATGCCTATCATTTTGCCCTTTCAAAACCTTCCTTCAGTTTCTCTCCACCTTTTCTCTATCTTTCTACAAAGCCAAATCCCTTCACTTTTGGTCCCAGAACTCCAAAATCTTTTCCAAGTGCACAGTAGGGCAAGCAATGCTACTTTTTGATTCTGGGAAGACAAAGAAATTACTTCAAATATGGCATTTATGTAGTACAGGCCTGACTATAGTACTGTAACGAGCATTCTTTAGCTCAAAAGCACTACTAAATACATATTATTAAACTGAACTAGGTAAATCTAAAAATTAAGAATCATATTAGTTATTGTTGAAATGAAGTTACTTCTGGAAGGAAAGACATCACCTAATTACAGTACACAGTAGATTAGTACAAAAAATAAAGACACCAAATGAAACGGCAGAAGATTTCAATTAAATGGAATCCAGAAAACAACTCTTTTATTCCATTTAGATTAAAAAAAAACACTTTAATTTAAACGATGTAGTTTAACATCTGTATTTCCCAAGACTTTTGAAACTTACATGTTTCCAATAAAGAAGGGAGAAAAAGGGTTTTCATGGATAAGAACCAAAGACAAGTGTATAGCAGGTGTTCTAAGATGTCCAGCTCAAGCAGGACCCACAGCATCCTCTGCTACACAAACAACAGTTTGTTTCAGAAAGTGCCAGCTGGGATCAATGGTACACTGTCTCCTCCTCATGTTTTATAAACTTGGTTGCAAATGCAGCTCTTGTAATACATTAAAAGAAGTCATTGGTGGCCTCAGCTTAGATATCCTGTGTTTTTAAGTAAAATCCAGCCAGACATTTCCCCACCTTCTCTTCTTCAATATTTTATACTTTTTTTTTTTTTTTTGCTAGAAGAACTTTGATGGAAGCTCTTCAGGAGTGGAATGTAATTCCCAATAGTTTTAATACAGTAAAACATTAAACTGTGATGCATCCTGAAATAAACACTCCTATCTCAGGGGGCAGAGACAATTTCACATCAGTTTGCAGCATTGGAAAGCCTCCCCTGATATGAATGAGCTTTGTGTCAGTCAGGTCTTACATCAAATAAGCAGAGTCTGAGCTATTTTGGATACTCGAAACTATATTTGTATAGAACAACTTTATTCCTTTAGTCTGTTATTGAGAATTTCACCAACCTGATTTTTACTGTCAAATTTTATTTTTTTTTTCCCCCCAGGATGCAGCTTTCTTCTTGTAAGGCAAGAGAAGTCAAAGGGGATTTGTTCTAAACCATATTTGAGGTCTTCTATAATCAGGGCAGAACAACAAAGCACAGAGCCTGCAGATCTTACATTTACTATACATCCAAAACTTTGCTAGGTCAGAGAAGAAGACGAGGCTCTGAAATCAAGCCCAGATTTTTCACTATTACATAAAGCAAACAATTCACAGATGACACATTCTCTCATGCCTCGATGCCTTTCTCTGGATCCAAAAGATTAATTTCCTCAACTGGACTAAGCTTGTATTCCTTCACAGTTGTGCTTTCCCATGCTGCTGGCAACAGCAGATTGACTAGAATGAGGAGTGGCTGCTGCAGGGGAAGCATTACAGATAAAAACAAAAACACAAACGGAATGGGTTTGAAGGATTCTAGAACACTTTGCTGCTAGGAGAAGCTGAAGAGCAGAAAAAAATATAATGAAAGAACAGTAACTCTGAAACTTGGTGACTGCATGCATGAGAAACGGTGGCAATGAGAACACGTGAAAGACCTGGAAACAAAGCAAAGTTTTATGTGAGACTTTCCCTGCTACCTCAAAAGAAACATAAGAAAATTCCTTTTCATATCCCTGCAAAAAAGAAAAAGGCTGAAATTAGAGATCCAAGTATTGCACTTTAAAAAAGTACATACACTGCTTAAGATTATGGATTTCCAACGAGACAGTGAGTCATTTACTGCAGCACTTCAGCAGACAGTAGCCACCAGGAAAAGCTTAAGAGAGAGAGAAGGAATCTCATTCACCAACAGAGGTAACTTTGCCATTGTGCAAAAGCAGGGACTGTGCTCTGTTAATGAAGGTGATTTGACACCCCCATCAGACTCCTCTGGATGTTGATTCCAGATATGCATTTGTCACTGCTGTCCATTCTGGCAACACACTACTTTGTAGGTCAGTGCTTCCTCCACCAAGTCTTCTTCTAGTGAATGCCTTTAATAGGTTTGCTTGTTGCAATGACAATGGTTACAAGAGGGGGCCTGAAGCCCTACTTTCTAGTTCTGTTCCCTAGAGGAAATAAGCAATCTGAGAGAAGGATTAAGATCCACTGAAAAACTAAGACTTCAAATTTTGAACATCCTAACAAACATCATTTTCCAGCATTTGGGCTGTCGTCTCATTCTCTTGAATTCAAGCGAAAAACTGTTGCTACTGTGACTATCTAAAGACTTTTTCCATCTTACATTTTGTTCCTTGCTTTTGCTGTTTTCAATTCCCATGCCAAAGTTTCTCCTGTTTATTCTAATTGTTTTAGTGTGTCTGACTCTCATTGGTTTATATGTTTAGTCTTGTCCTGATTTAGTATGAATTAAAACACTGCCACGATCAGGCTGCAAATATGAGTCAGAACAGAAACTATTTAAATAATACTATGGATGGTACCCATCTGGCTTGATATCTAGATCATATAGAATAATGCTGTTTTTGTTTTCTGCTACTGTTGTCTGGAATTGCCAATGAAGTGTTGATTGTGATTGTGACCACAAGTATGTTTTGTTCCTGGTCCTGTTAAGCCAAAAGAGTGTGGTTTACTGCATGTATGTACGTGAGGTTGTTTTGATTATACTAAATTCACTTTAAAAAACCCACATTTTGCCACTGCAGCGCTACAGGACAATAAGAAAAGAATTTCCAATGAGAACAGTATTTTAAAAGCAAACCACTGGGCTCCTTCTTTTTAAAAGAATCTTAAGGGACGCTACCCTTTCTTCTGAATTTGATTATTTCTCAAAATTACATGTGAATACTGTTTTCAACTGAAGGCCTCCTTTCCTTCTCTCCTCACTCATTATGTAAGACTTAGCAAATTTCAGATTGCATATTTCACACAGAGGTTATGCTTCTTTAAATTACTTGTTTACTGTGTTGAGTAAAAACATTATATGGCAACTTTTTTTATTTGGTGAATCTCGTTACCATATGTTCAATGGTAGCTTCAGGCATATCATTTGGATTTTCAGTACCTTGTCTCTGAAGACCTAGGAATGCTTACCACTAAACACTTGCCACCCTCATTTTCTAGTTTTCCAGAAAGAGGGTGAAGACTGTATTCTGGAGGGCCAATGTTGCACCCTGTCAGTGCCTCTGGCAAAGCCTCAATGAGTATGCCTCTATTCTAGGAAAGACAGGCTTCAGTTCTAAGCAGTGAATAAGACTATCGACCACAATGTGCCCGAAGACGTGCCTGACCTCATAGTGCACGACCCTCATAGTTTATTCAGACTCTTCAAATGGGTGATAGACAGGCATGTAACACGTGAGCACTGCTCTCCGTGTCTTTTCCAAACTAAAACATCAGCATAAATGACAGACAAGTGGATGAAAACCTGACGTTCTTCTGTTCCTGCTGAAATGAACCCATACTATATATGGCTCCCCCTACATTGCAGACATAAAGACAGCTAAGAGAGACTCCTAGCATGAATTCCAATCTGGTAGTTTTTTTAATAAAGTTTGCTTATCGTTCCCTGTTTCGCAGCTTTGCTCCTCACTTAGAGGCATCCCAGCCCACAGCCCCATGCTTTCAGGTAATCTGACCAGGATTTTTAACGCTGGCTACATCCAGACTCTGTCTACCCAGAGTTTTCAGCCTGATTAAACATTTGCCAGCTAAATTTAAACCCATTCTTTTTCCTGGTTTGTGAAGTGCCTGAAATCCTATGCTAATAACAAACAATGAAGCTATCCATTCTTTTTCAGTTGAGTCAAATCAGCTTATCGCTAATAAAAAGCCCTTCACTGCTCCTTAAAGCAGAGGCTAATAATGGTGAGTCAGATACATTCTTGTGATAGCAGTTGTTCAGTTAAGAAACCCTCTCAGCTGACTGAAAAGCGAAATAGCTTTTTTACGACGACTTAATCCCACTGTAACAGCATCTATGGCTGTAACCAATGGTTTAATGGTTCAGTGCCCTGTTAATAAGGTTTCAAACAAGTGACTGTATTTTCATCACACCAAACTTGAAGCCAAAGAGCATGGGAGCTTTCTGGGTGTTGCTTTTTTGTTTGTTTGTTTGCTTTTTTGCTTTGCTTTGTTTTTGTTTAACTGTCAAGAAAGCACCCAAACCCATGGCTGGCAGTAGTGCTTAAGCTGGCAAAGTTTTGATTATTTTTGTTTCCACATTTTAGAGAGACAGAAGAAGAACTTTCTGAGAATAAAAGGCCATATTTTGTGTTTCAATATAATGTCACAAGCTCAGATCCACATAATGTCAAGATCAGTTCTACAATATCTTACTCTGACCTCCAAGATAACTATTCTTCCTGGTAAACTGCAGTGTATTCTGCAAATCACATAAAGCATTAATTTTTTTCTGATACAAGTTCTATGATTATTTAAGAGTTTTTGCAAGGCAGGCCTATGCCTACACTGCACTTCGTCCTCAGCATAATCTTCTAATCATGTATTCTGCTCTTTCTTGCCCCACAGGCGTCAATGTAGCTGCCTCTTGATTCAGATTGAGGAACTGTGTTTTTAACTGCAGAATTCCCAGCAGGATGTGTTGATGCAGTCCAGACACACACACTTTCAAATCCTATTTTAACCAACTCTGCATACATAGTTTAAAGCCAGATGTGTTTAATATAGTGCAAATAAAGGACTGATTTGCAAGTGTACTGGGGCCAACAAGGTCAGGCAGTTTGAATTAGTATTTTCATCATCATCAACTCCTGCAATTTCATTTGAATTCTCCTGATATTTAGTATTTGTTATAAAGTCAGGCTGTGGGAACCAAGAGCTTTCATGAATCTGTCTGCTTTAACTTTTATTAGAAGCTTGGAAACCTTACCTATGTACAAAAAGAAAGAAGGAAAAACACAATGAAGCCCAAGCACCTAATTCCAAACCCCAAATGCCCAAAGGATGAATCAAAAAGAAAGAAGACATTCCTTTAAAAAAGGATTTCATAGTTTGAAAACCCACTCTGTGGTGCAGAGGAGCTAGATTTTGTTAGGGCTCCTTACTTCCACTTCCCGACCTGTATGGATACGCATAGCTCAGGGCCTTCTCTCTCTGTCAGATAACAGTGGGCCGCAGCAGTGGGCTTCGTTCTACTTTTTCACAGGCCTAATTTCAGTTTCTTTACAACATCAAGCTCTCATTCTTGCTTTTCCGGCAGAAATGAGCTGCTTTGAGCTGAGAACGCGTTTCCAGCCGATCGGATTTATTTACCTTTCTCAAATCGTTTCTGTGCTGATAACGAGTATCAGAGCACACGATTTCCCGGGCATATCGCTCCAGCCAGGGCGCCGCCGGGCCCCCGAGCACAGCCGAAACCGCAAACCCACGTCTCCCTTCCCCCTCACGGCGGAGGCGGCTGACCGAGGCCCGGCTCTCCGCTCCTTGAGGCTCCCAGCAAAGGGGCTGACCCTGACGGGCCCGGCAGCTCGGCGCGGCGGCCCGAACTCCCTCTGCGCCACGGGCTCCGTGCCGCCGCGCCAGGTACTAACCTGACCAGGTCGGTCATACACGATCCCACCACCGCCACCTCGGCGGCCATGGCGCTGGGGACGGGGCGGACAAACCGGCTCCGAGGCCCGGACCCTGGACCCTGAACCCAGCCTCCGCACCGGGCCGCGCCGCGGCTTCGCCCGTTGCCACGGCGACGGGCGGGTGAGAGGGGGGGCCTCGGCCGGTAGGGGCGCCCCTGGCGAACGCCTGTCGGGACGCAGCTCTCTTCGCTCCTGCCCGCCCCCGTCCCGCCAGCTAATTCCGCGCCGCTCCGGCTGCGGCCTCCCCGCGGCCCCTCACCTCCCCGGCTCTACCCCCACGCTGCGCGGAGACAAAATCCGCCCAGGCGCTGCGGCCGCCGCCAGCTCTCAGGCCCGCGAAGCCCCCTGCGGCCCTGGGAGCCGCGGCGGCGGCGGCGGCGGGGCGCGGAGGCGCGCACGTCGCGCGGCGGGGCGGGAGCGCGCACGCCGGGCGCGGGCGGACGGGACGGGCGCGTGGCCGCGGCCGTTGCTAAGGGGCCGCGCTTTGGCCGCCGTAGGTATGGCGGGGCCGGGGCTCGAGCGAAGGCCCGGGAGGGGCGGGCGGGAGGGCGCCAGCGCCCCTGCTGGCTCCGGTGGGGGGGCGGCGGGAGGCCTGGGTTCTGCTCCCGCCTCCTCCTCCGGCCCCGGGAGGCGGCGCGGGGCCGGGATCGGCACCAGCACATCCCGGGGCGGAGGGCCGGGCTCCTCGGTCGGCCCCGCCCGCCGCCCCGGGGCCGGCCCGGCACGTGGCTGCTGGAGCCCCGGGAACGGCGCCGAGGGCCCGACTCCGGCAGGGGGGGAGCGGGACGGGGCCGAGGAGCGACGCCGAAGAGCGACGCCGGGCGTCCCCGCCCAGTGCGGGCAGAGCTGGGCGGCGGGGCGGGCGCAGGAGGCTCCCGTGCGCTTTGGTCTCATCCGCAGCGCCTCTGTGCGACGCTGAACCCGTGCTGAATGTTTGGCTCGGCGGTGGGGACGCTCGTTTCCGTGTGCTCGTTGCGGAGCTTGCCTTCGACTGACCTGAACTCGTGGCTGCTGAGTCTGAAAGGGTCCCGCTGCTCGTTTTGTACTTCTCCCAGATAGGGAGGGAAACTGCTTCTTGGGTTATTTATTTGTTGGTGTTTAATTCCCACGGGTTAATTTGGTTTGTGCTCTGTTCCCAGCATTGCCGGGCCGCTAAGCTGGGGAAAAGATGTATGTTGGAACTGAAAGTTATGGAAATAGTATGGTTGTGTTACTGTTTGTAAATCCCTTTGTTTACGGATCCCTTTGTTTACAAAATAAATCAGTGAGTGTAACCAATTGGAGCCTTTAAGCGTTGTGCGATAGCTGGCTTGAGATGTAGAAGGTATTGTGGGTCTTAAAGAAGCGATGCAATAAAGCCAGGAGCAGTGCTTCAGAGCCCCTGGTGCCTTGTGCTGTCAATACCTGCGTACTCCACTAGTGGAAAGGTAAAGAACACCCTGTCACTCACTTTAGAAAGTGTCTGTTTCACCTTTGGTCATCTCATGCATCTCCACGCGTCACAGTTCTACCCTCATACCTGAGTTCCCTGGAAGGATGTTGTATAATCAGAACTAATGTTGAGGTCTCTGTTATATGAAGTGATAGGATGGCCTCTATTTCAGCATGCTTTTCGTGCTTCAAGAAGGCCTTACCATCATCAGCTCTGCTGCCTGAAGTTACTCTCCCTGCAGTAGAATAAAACATGATGGAATAAAACGTGCCCAGAGTTAGCCACTCTTGTGCAATATCTGTCATTCTAGTTTAAACTAATTTTTTTTAGCTGTTCAAGCTCAGTCGTTGGTCTTTGCATTGATGTAGGCTAACTCTGAGTTTGTTTTCTCAGTGTTTCTGGATGAGTTGGCAGGGTGTTTTAAGTGAGATCCAACTAAAGGGAGGGAGTGTCCTGAGTGGCCATAAATGTCTGCCAGGCAAGTGTAAGTGGTTGCCCATCATCAGTTATGCTATATCGTGTAAGTGTGTGTGTAAGAAGAGCAAGTTATATATTAGTGTATGGATATTCAGTCTCGAGCTTCTATAGCTGCTGTGAAGTGCAGGAAACTGTATTAATTACAATTTGTAGGAAATCCCTGGGTATTTTTGATCACCCAAAAATGCCTGGCCTTTGTTTTACTCCAAGTTGCTATGATAAGTTCTCTTGAAGACTCATTCATACTGCTTCCATGTGAATGGCTTTCATAAGAACAAAACACATAGCTCAAATGATTAATGATGCTACCTTCTGGAAGGAATTATCAGTTTGCAGAAGATCTGTTAGTTGCCAACTGAAGGTTGTAAGCTGAGTGGTAGGAAAAACAGAGAAATGTTGTGAATGCAGCAGTTTGGGCACGTTGTTATTTGTGAATGTAGATGAATAATAAAGAGTTTGTAATGGCCAGAGTTAAGTTGTGGGGCCTTCTGCTCAAATTTGCAGTGGTGATTTTATATTATGCTGAGTCACTTGTGGCCCTATTTTGTAAAACTCTGAAATTCAGTTAATTTTCAGGTAGAACTGTAAACATACCAAGAATATGAGTGAATGTATTTTTAGCATTTAGATAGGTTGCTTGCCTTTCTTTCTTCCACTTCTGCCACAGCCTGGTTTTGCCCACAGATAGGCTTTCAGCATGAGACTATTTTAAATTACAAACAAGATCAGCTCCTGCATTTAGTCTAGAAAGCAGCAAGTGTGATTATAGTGGCCTCACTGATGTAGCGTAAGGTCGTGCAATTGCAAGTGCTTCTGAAGAAGCTGTGCTTGAAGTTTGTGTATAACAGTTTCACAATGTGTTTTGTGCCTTTCAGAGCATGGTAGTATCACCGATAGGAAAGTCTTTGAAGGAAGCACAAAATGCTCTGTCTATCTCTTAGTGAAGTGTTGTGAATGTAATACTGATGATGGTTATGCTTGTAGTTGTATTACAAATTAAAAATATGTGGAGAGAAAATATGTAGAGAGTGCAATCCCATTGCAATCAGTACTGTAAGTCTAGTTGATGTCAATAGAAGCAGAACAAATGTGGCTTGTTGATTACAGCCTCTAGGGGAATGCTTACAAGAACAGCTAGGCTGTGAATGGTCAGGAGGACCTTCCGTTTGATTTATCTTTCTCATAGGGATAGGATCTTAATTAAAGGAGCCTAGGATTAAAGATTCTTTATATTGAGTTTGAATTGAATAAATGGGTTTCTTTGATCATTGCAGAGGTAGGAGAAAAAAGTTAGCTTTGTACTCTTCAATTCCTGATCGCTAGAGCGCTAAGCTTATTTTTCCTTTGATGTTGTCATAGTATATGTGAATTTACACCAAATAAGTAGGATATTTTAAAATTGTTTTTCTCCCTTACTGTTCCTGTACAGCTAAAGACAGAAGGAAGAGAGAACGCTACAATGTCTCCCGAAGTTGCCTTGAACAGAATTTCTCCTGCTCTTTCACCGTTCATTTCGAGTGTGGTGAGAAATGGAAAAGTAGGCCTGGATGCTACCAATTGTTTACGAATTACAGACCTGAAATCTGGGTAAGTGTTTGAGTTCCTTGTTTAGAAAGAATGCCCAACCCCTCAATGACAGTTCAGATGTCTTTTCAGAACTGATCTTTTACTATGTCAGTGTGTCCTTAAGCATTTTCAGTATATCTGAAACTGAAATGCTGTCTAGATTGTTTTTCTGTCTTATTAGCATTTTGTACTTTGCGGGATTTAATTTGTCACGTTGTTGGCGATAATAATCTTGCTGACACACTTTCATTGGTGCCACTGGTTTTCAGCAGTTAGATTGTTGTAAACACATTTTCCAGCTGTTTATCACTTGCTTACTTAATCTTTTCTATAATTTTGAAAGTGGAAGATAAATTTCTAAGACCTTACTGTAGTAACAAATATGCTAAATAAGAAAGAAAAACATTTCTTTATCTAACCTTCTCCAAGATTAGTACATTTAATAGCTGTAGGCTGCAGTGTTTGAAATAGGCCAAGCTACTATTTCTGTTTTTAAGTCTACAAGGATGCGTGGTGGTTTTCAGCTGCTGATAAAGTTTGGGATCCACATGTACAGAGGGAACTCTGATGTGTAACCTCTGTGAATAATACGTGGGGGGTGTGAACTGCTAAAAGTAGAGTTTACTTTGGATGTTGCCAGATGGGAAACTCTCAGAGCAGCTGATAAAGAATTCTGAAGATGAGAGGATATCAGAAATTGCTTCTATAGTTGTGCATCTAACCACATTCCTGACTGAGGTACTTCTTTGAGACTGGAGTAGAGACTCTGAAATTATTTTGGCTTAGGGTGCTGAAATCACTTTGCATCACTTTGATGCAGACTCTGCTGGTTTGATTTGAATGATAGTGTAGCCCAATAAGTTTTGAGAACTACCACGAAAATTCTTTAAAATTTAGTTCTGCTGAAAACTGTTTCATGTCCTTCTGTAGTTTGCTTTGTTATGGTTTCTTGGACAGTTAGGAGTTGCTTTTCCTGTAGATACAATGCCTTTTCATCAAAGTCTGATTTCTATGGTTAGCTTGAAAAGAGTCATCCTCTGTGACACTGCCGTCTTTCTTGGAGGTCTAAGAAGCTGTAACTTTGTGTCGTTTGCCTTAGTGTTTGATCTTGCAGATTAAATGATACAGGCTGAGCAATTACTTACCTGCAACTGTTGCTTCATTGTAGCCCTTTCTTTTTTTTGAACTAGTCTCCTAGGAAGGCTAAGGTAGCATCTGTCTTGCCTTCGCTTTTCTGAAAAGGGATAGAGAAAAAAAAAAAAAAAAAAAAGAGAAAACACAGGTGTGGTCTGGTGATGAAGGTGTCAGCTTATTGGGAGGTTGGTAAGAATTTTCTCAGTGCCCACAGTGCTTATGCTGCTTGCCTTTAGAATAGATTAAAATAATTCAACACAGTGTTTTTTTAGCTAACTCTTTTCAGAGGTATTTTAGTATGTGTTTTTAGCCTGTAGTCTTACTGAGATTATCTTCAGTTTGCTGTGATATGTCTTAAATGTTTTCCAAGAGTTTATTCTTTAACTTAAAAAACGGAAAACTTACTCCTAACTGTGCCTGTTTTCCAACCTAGTGATTCAAATTCTATACTGTTTGCATTGAATGTGGAGTACAGAACATAAATGCAGTGACCAAGAGAGATTGAAATTTACCTCTGGGTGCTGCCTCTCAAGGAAAAGTTTGTAGGGCTCCGAGAATCCAAAAAATAGATTGGAAGGCA